TGGCTCGGGCGAGGCCGACTTGGACGGGACGTCAGCCCACGGCGATGGGCCCATGAACGGGTCGTCCACCTCTGATGGGCGCGGAGGAAGAATGGTACGGAAGCGCGGCGTAGGCTGAGACTCCTCTTCTGGGGATAGTACGTTGGGCGAGAGCAGATCTTCGGCGAGAACCTTTGAGGGCGTCTTCTCGGATTCTATGCCTGTGGATGCATTGGATGTGCTGAGTGGGGTATCATCGTCGTATCCTTGGTGTGACGGAGCCGGCGAGGGTGGAAGGGGGAGAGTTGATGGTAGATCGAGGGATTGTGGCCGAGACTTGATCCCTATCCGCGATGAGGAGCGGGACGTAGGTCGCGAGTTTGAGAAATCCGCTCCAGAGATCACGTTAGGAATGATATGTTCGGGTAGAGGTGATGAGAGGGCACTCCCGCGCAGGTGTGTGTTCTCGCCCTCTATAACACGAAGCGCACTCTTCAGAGCTTCTTTCTCCTGCCTCAGCTCCCTCAGCTCCTCTTCTGACTCGGCCCGCATCTTCCGTTCCGTCGCGACCATATTGTTTGCCTGACAAAGATGTTCAGAAAATGAAATGCCTGAATATAACCAGAATCCATACCTCCTCGAATAGCGCCTGCGAAAGCGACTCAAGCTCAGCCTCCAACGCCGCCTTCTCTTCTGCGATCTGCTTCCGCGCCGCCTTCTCCTTCTCCAACTCTGCCGTCAGCTCCTCAAGCTCCTTCGATCGAACAGACGACAGCGACGGCATAGACGGTGACGTCAAGTGGTGCGCCTGCACGCCTGGTCCAGTCCCGCTAGGCGTTCCGGGACGGCTAGAAGGCAGGCCGGACGTGCTGAACCGGAATTTGAAGAATCGGTTGTCCTGCTGGGGTGGGGCGGTGGACGACCCTCCGGCTGAAGGGGGTGGCGACACGTCATGGGGCGTGGATGGGAATTCGACCGACTGTGAACGTTCCAAGGATCCTCGTGGCCCCCTGGATTCGCTCTCGCGGCCGCTCGTCCGTCGCCAGCCCACCTCCCGCGAGGACCCGGAGGTATCGCGTTTCAGAGCGTCCTCCAGCATCTCGTTGTTCGCAATAACCATCTTGAGGTTGGATTTGGCGACATTCAATTGAATTTCTAGATCTGCTTGTGTCTTGTATGCTTCGCCGAGCAAGGACGACTAGGAAAGGAGATAAGAGGACTCTTCCGTCGCATGAAAACAACACAACTCACCAGCTCAGTGACCCTGTTTATAACCATATTCAGAGCATATCGAAGGTCATCTTCCTGTCCATCTGCGTGCACCCTTCGCGCATCGTGGAGCTCTTCTTCGACCGTCAGGAATAGAGGGTTTGACGCTGATTTTTGCTGGGTCGCGTTGAGGTCAGAGCGTCGAGGGATACCATTCGGACCCTGCGTTGCGAGTTTTGAAGGAAAATGTAGCATGAGTGTACAGGAGGACTAGTACTTTGTAGAACCAAAAGCTGAGGCCTGAGGATTAGCAAATCTGATGTGACTTCCGTCACGGAGTGACGCTTTCGCCAAGCCAATCTTGGACGACACAGGCTCTGGTAGGTTCTATTTGTGCAGACGGAGAACTCCTTTTGAAAGCAGCAGTTAAGGATGTATTTCATACTCCTTTATTCTTTTCACGTCAGCGTTAATATGATACAACTGAAGCTCAGCCTCTCAGAAGCTGTACCCCGCTGTTCGTAATTTGGACTAAGTACAGTTGGAATGAAGCATCTCAGAAATGTATAATTTCATTTGAAATTTGGAAACGGGTTTATCATTACGGTGTCAATATATTCTCTCCACGTTTGATTTTTACGCTTGTTCTTGTTTTTGTTCTTGCTCTACAATCTTGCGATAGGTCGCAATTTGGTCCCTCAACCGGGTGATTTGCCCAGGTGTAAATTCAGTCAAGCAAGAGTCGTCGCTGTAATCCATGAAGTTGTCTATTAAACACTCGTATATTCAGCACTCCTGACGCAATGTGTAAACAATGAACATGTTGTCGACTCACGAATAGGATCCACCCCCGGCTGATCACATGTATCCCTCCCCACCGGACACCCATACGCCGGTGTCGCTTCCGCAGGTGTATCATCTACCTGGTCACCCATGCCATAGCACCCGCCCTGGAAGGTATGATACAGACCGAGCCAGTGCCCGGTCTCATGCGTCAGCGTCTTGCCCAGGTTGTACGGCCAAGTGATTCCACCAGGCATCGAGGAGTAGAGCATGACGATGCCATCGGCGAGCGGGTTGGCAGCGTAGTCATATGGGAAAGTGGCGTATCCGAGGAGGGCCGCTGCTGAGCCCGACCGGAAGCTGAGGAAGGGTAGAGGAGAGAGCATGGATTAATTTGGGAATTAAGGCGCATTGGAGAAAGGACAATACTAACCCAACGGTGTAGACGTTCAGAGCGGCCGCATCGCCCTGTCGATTAACCCTCTTCATCTCAGTTTCCATGTACCTGTAATGAAGTCAGTCTTCGCCCAGCTATTAGGAATCGAGAGTCACTTGGTATCATACGGACCCAACCAGCTGAACCACGTCGGATTCTCGATGCGCGAGACGTTCTTCAAATTGAAGCTAAGACCAGCCGACACATAGTCCTCGTTCAATACCCGCACTTGGTCATTGATGTACGCGTCGCTATTAACGAGAAAATAGCGTCAAGACCGTGCCCTCCGTCATGTCTAAGAAAATGGCAAGCGCAAGAGAGCTTACGGAATGAACCCGCCGTCGAGCGTCCTGTCCCTGTGTATGACATGGAAGTATACATCAATGGGCTCGGCCTTGCGAAGCACGCCCGCCGAGGCAGGCCTGCGGTGTTGGGTGAAGTGCTTTTGGCTCTCGAGGATCTGCACGTCGTTGATCGTCGTCCCACAAGTACGCTGCTGCGCAGAGAGTGCGGCCGTCACTCCATAGAGCAAAGCAAGTCCCAGAGACGTAAAAGACACCATTTGGAATCGGCAGTGGATGCTGGCGGAGCGAGGACTCGACGGATACAGAGCTACGAACGACCTGCTTTTATTACAGCTCTCTTTGGTGCGGGCATCGGTGCGGGGTGGAGTTCCAGGCCCTAATCATGCCCAGAAGAGAGCGCTTTAGAGCTCATTCGACGACGCTAAATGCCCGAGAAGCACTTCGGAGCAGCGGCAGAATGGCGTTCGCCCGAGGTCGACGCTTCTCTGCGTCCATGATTCTGACCTTCAGGGGTCTGGTTAGTCCTGATTTGAGATGAGAGACTGGTAGGCGACGGAGAATTACCCAGCATGTCCTTGTAGAGGACAATTGGATGCTATTGAGTTGCGGCTGAACGCGTAATCGATGAGGCAGGCCGTAGATAGGTTGAGTGGAGATAGGTTCGTACGCTAGCTAGGGCAGATATCAGAGAAGTCAGGATCATTTCACGTCGCAGAGTCGGAAGCGGTTGGAAGATTTCACGGCTCATTTTGTTGCTAACTCTCAGTCCAAGGCCAACCAGAAGAGGCTTAGAGATGCTCAACAGGTGTGGTCGGGAGAACCGCCGCAAGAAATAATATCAAGCATCTTCAATAACCTGAGTTTTCGGAAGATTAGAACAGAGAATATGTGAGGAAGATTGGAGGACGAGGACTGACAGACAGTTGAATTGACTCGACACGTGCGGATTTAGGCGAGTAAGTAGAGACGATACCCCGACTAGTCCCAAATTTGAAGAAAGGGCCATTCAGACTTTCGAACCCCCGAGCCTATATCATACATTCCATTCCGTCTTGATACATTTGATACATTGAGCGTTGAATTATACGTCTAGTCGCATAGGCATCTTCTTCCAATCCACTCAGACCAGGGACTGCAGCCCCGCAGCCCTTCGCCCTTTCGAGCCTTAGTACGCGCTTCCCTTCCCCGAGAAGCCGTCGGGGAAGATCTGACGGAAGAGTTTGGGATAGTGTCTCTCGCCGACATCAGGATGGCTCCTGTAGGTCGCACGGTTTCAATTGGATTCTAAGAGAAGAAGAGAGAGAGGAAGGTGTACTTGACTCTTCCAATGAGGTTGACCTTTCCTGAAGGCTCGCGATCAAATTCAGAGAAGTTGACGGCTGGAGAAGTGATGCATAAATTTGAATTCGTTTGCAAGGAGGGGGCAAGGAAAGCTGGTACATACAGTCGGTTGCAGCGACGTATCCTCGTTTGTCTCTGAGTGCAAGTATTTCGGGAGAGACTGCGAAAATGCCATTTTGATTTTAATGTGCAAAAATATAACAGAGCGGGAGGGAAAGCTTACAGTTCAGGACGTGATCAGTAAGCCTAACATCCAGCCCAATATTCTGGAAGAAGGGCACAGAGTACCGAGGGGTCTCTCCCTTAGGGGAGAGAACGCGATGAGAAGTAGCCCGAGCAATCCCCTTGGTCACGAACTCCAGGGCTGTAGGAACAAAATGAGTCAGGAATAAGAGAAGTCTACACCGTGAGTTACCTTTCCCAATGTTTACCACGAAAGTATTAGGGATGGGCGGCGCATCTATCCATTCCCCGGAGAGGTTCTGGACCTGAAGTCCGCGGTGATTGGAGGCTTGTAACAACTTCGCAAACGATCTATCAGCACGGGAAGAATTCCAGAGAACAAGAATTGGTGATGTACGAATGTGAGGAAACCGGCATCGTAGTGGGGCCCAACACCTTGGTCACTGGACCCACTGACAACGGGGTATTTGACGATCTTCGATCGATGTTGCATGAGCTCTGGGGTGTCATAGAATTGCGATAAGCCGTCTGGTCCAAGGCCAAACGCCTCTGCGATCAAGGAGCTAAACCTCATGCTCAGGTCTTGCACTTGATCTAGGTATCGTTCAAGCACCTCTCTGAATCCCGGAATGAGCTTCTCGTCTGGCCACTAACCAAACGCGATATTAGAGTTAAATGGTCTGTGACAACCAGAGCAGAGAACGTACCTGAGGCGGGCCCCACAATTTATAATGCTCAGGATCGCCTTCCTTCCACCTGCAGATATGCCTCGTCGCAAAATCGAACTGCTCTCTCTGGTCAACAGCGCCCTTCGTGAGCTCGGCGCCAAACCGCGAGTATCCGAGGAAGTGCTCCGAGTTAACCATGCGTATCTTGTCTTTGGCCTCTTGCGGCAACGTAAACAGCTTGGGTATGTAGCTAACCAACAGATCTATGTCCGCTTGCGCCACAGGGTGGTTAGAGAGGTAGAGGAACCCAACATTGATCAAAGCATGTCGAAGTTGTGAGAGGAACTTTGGCTTGTCATTTGCATCGTTGCTCAGAGAGTAGTCCAGGACTGGAACGGCGGAGAAGTCAACTTCCTGAGACATGGCGGTCAGATAATGGTTGTAGTTGTGAGTAGAGGTGTTTATACGGACTGCTGGTGAGGAAGATTATGCGAGATGACGCGATCCACTGGTCTTACAATTATGCGGTGCCGAGTCGAAAGTCGCCAGTCCATGTCACCGGGTCAGCCTCAGGCAGTCTGGAAGGGCCCTTCTTGAAGTCTGGAGTCGTTCAAGGGGTGCCACTGTAAGAATCGTGGTTGCAGCGCAAATTTGAAGAGAGTGAAGTTTGTTAGAATTGTGCAGGCCGGAAGTTCCCGTAGAAGTCGGCCCGGGTTCCCCGCTTTTCAGTGCTTTTCGCACCAATTGGAACAAAAGAATTCTTCGGGGCTATCTTCGAAAGTCCAACAGGTTAAGAAAAATGAGAAATTCAGTCGCTCGCAATTAATGATAGTTACGGTCAAAAATTCTTCACTTTTTTGTCGCGCAGAGACCTGGTAGATAATGCATCAGGTCGAAATTTGATATAGGACATTTGAAAATCTATGTATGCGACAAGACAGGGAGGGCAACAGCCAGGTGCGTCCTTATATTTCTGGAAGGCGATGTCGAAGGGCCATCTTGCAGTTTTTTTCCCTGGAATTCAAAGAAGAGATCAAAACGGTTAAACGAGCTGCGACAGACACTACTTAAGCGCCCGAGGACTCGGACCACGATCGTAGTACGAACCTTATTGAACCGCCGCATCTCCCGGACAAGCTCGCTAAAACCTTTATCAACGTTCGTCGTTGATCCTATCCTTCGCCGAGGTCTCTACGAATGGATCTGCGTTCCTGGTAATGAATTCATGAGGATTCCCTCCGGGAAGACGCCAATTTGGGCCAAAGAATGGCAAGAACCAATGGAATAGACGAGGAGAAAACCATCTCCCTCGCTTGCGCGTGCAGCAGACCTTCCGATCCTCTGCATGTCCGTGTCAGTAGGGGCACACAATATACAACTGGCATCTGAGCGCCCGTCCTCAGGCACGAACTTGGACCGAAGAAAAGCTAGCAATGCTCACCCGCCGTCTTGGTATTGAATGTCCAAAACCCGGTAATGAAAGTGACTTTATGGTCAACAACTATTTGCCTGCGGCATTCCCCTGTGAACATGGACAAAGAAATGGCGAAATATGGGTGAGTCTCCGCGGCTCTTGTCTTTCAGTCGACGTACCGTAAAGAGTGGGGTCATGTTCTTCCAAGTCCATCGGAGGGTCCGCGACGAAGCGGGGAGTCAAAGTTGTCTTTCCGATATCCGATCGTACGCGTCAGGACGAACTGCTTCGGGAGAGTCTGATAACTAGACCTCCTGCTCCGGCAACATACAACATGCACTCCCTCCGAGTCGACTGATCCTGTTGCTACCGAGACATGAGCATGATAGATGCAGATGAATATGGCCTCGACGAACTTTCTTGGACATAGTAGTCCGTTTTAAGGGACAATACAAAACACAAGACCACGCAGTCGAAGATGACGATTCAAGGGAGATGTGGATCTCGCCGAGAAGCCCACGCAGATACGGCGCCGGAGTGGCAAATGATTGTGTCTCCGATGTCCAAGGTACTCTACGCTCCCCGACCTCTAATGAGTCTGCTTATAATGAGTGCGCTATGCAAAGGGACGAAAGCTATGCAGCCGGAAGAGTTGGTAAGCGCTCTTAGTCCCTTTCCAACAAGGATCTCCGGTCGCTTGATTGCGCCACAATGAAAGAAGCCAGCAAGAGAGCGCGGAAGCAAACATACGGGATAAAATATTTAGACAACAATGCAGCGAGTGCAACAGCCAGGAGCATAGTCATTTTTATCTTCGCTGCCAGAGCCATCTACGGCTGGCGAGATGTTCTGATGTTCCTGCAAGCGGATGTTGGAAGTCTCACCAATCAGACAAGCAATCGATTCAAAACAGTACGGACCTTCTCATATGTACTTGCGGATTTCCCGAACAAGCTGGCTAAAAGCCTCCTCTACATTTTCTCTCTCCTTCGCCGAGGTCTCGATAAACGGACTTCCAAGCTGGCCTGCGAGGCGGGAGCCCTTTGCTCATTGTGATGATCATTAGCGGGGAAGAGCGTAGAGACTGCCACATACCATCCGAATTGATTTCACGTTCTTTCGCGGGTTGACCAGCAACCTATCTCCGAAGGGATAATCCGGGGTCCTTTGTCATTACTTACTCACCTACGCGCCAACCACGTGCACGCAATCACCCCCTCTGACAAGAGATTCGTAATCGTCCACAACCTTTGATGGGAGTATTTAGGATGCTTACACTGTCGAGGATTCGAGCCAGCGGCAGTCAAGTTGCTCATGCCCCGTACGACCGGAAAAGAGCGGGGGCGACCCGAAACTAATTAATCCCCGCAGGACCTTGTGCGCCACACTCAGTGCGCCACATCAGCTCACCTTGATACTTTATAGTCTACATAAACGACCAAAATTGACTAGAGAAAGAAGAAGGGAGACAGACCCAGGATATATCACGTATGTAAGGGTGATGATTATCCAGGGAGCAGTGCGCATGTGAAATAGGAATTTAGGCAATAATACAGCGAGTACAGCAGCCTGGTACGTCCTCATGTTGGTCTCGACTGGCAAGCACAGTTGGTGGCTCCTAGAAAAAAAGATCAGAAATACAGGACAGGAACTGGGGGGCTATGAACCTTGTTATACTTTCGGATTTCCTCAACAAGCTCGCTGAAGGCCTCGTTGACATTGATATTATTCTTCGCCGATGTCTCGAAGAACGGACATCCGAGCAGGCTTGCAAGGGTCGTTCCCTCTGGTGATAGTCATCATGGTGAAAAGAGAGGTGCGTGAAGCTCAGAGTGCGACCACATACCATCCGTGCTAATCTCGCGCTGGTGCATTGGCATATCGCACTTGTTACCTACGAGGACGACGGGGAAGGAGCTCTTATCCTTGACCCGGAGAATTTTTTGGTGGAAGGCTTGGATTTCGTCGAAGGTGTAACGCGAACCAATGGAGTACACGAGCAGGAAACCGTCTATCCCATGTATATGACTATCACGAAAGCCGGCCACCCCCCTGTGGCAGGAAAATTGGTTGGTTAGATTGCAGAATACCCCGGGCGCTCCAATATTCCCGAGCACCGCCGCCTGAAGACAAGCTTGCTCCATAGAAAAAGAGACAATGGCTAGAGTAAGAACACGTACATGTACCCCTCCTGACCTCCAGAGGTATCCGAAATGTCGATAAAAGCACTTTCTTGACCAACCATGATTATCCTTCTGTAGAAATCTAGACGCGTAAAAAAGAGTATTATGTAAAACATCGCTTCTCTGCGAGTCTTATCTGTCGGTTAGCATACCTTCGATGGTGGGATCGTAGTCCTCAAAAAAGCGCTCATCGGTAAATCGAATAGTCAAAGAAGACTTTCCACTTCCTTAAATAGTTTCAGAACGAATTATTCGACGAGGATGTGCCAAAAGAGACCGTCACAGCCGACAACAGATACGCTGTATTCCCGAATCCTCGATTGAGTCTAATGATTCATGAGATACGCCAATGAATTTATAGTATATGAAAGTCACCTCCTCATTCATATCATCCAGTGCAACGAAAAAATGTAAGCAGGAGAGATAAGAAAAGGGACGAACTGGATGATGGCAAGGAGAAACAAGTACTAGTAGCCGACAAACCCGGTCGAGCACTGCCTTTGCTGTTACTCACTAAACACGTGACGTTGCCCTGTCTCCGTCGGATTCGAGACGTCCTCCGAGCTCTGGTGTGTATAAGGTGTATAAGGGATAAATATACTGTCGAGCTAGCTACACTAATCAAGTTGGGCACTTTCTTCCTCGGAAGAAGCAGCTTGTCATTAATTAACTCTCGAAGAACTTTCGATGCCACACTTGCGCCACACTCGATCACCTCAACTATGTATAAGTGGCGTGAATATACGGGGGCTGGAAGGTGGGAGAAATTGAATGAATATAACATGTTTAAGGAAAACCACCACAGGAGCAAGTATGTAATATGGAATTTTAGACAATAATGCAGCGAGCACAGCAACCATTGGCAGGTAAGTCTTTGGGCTGATCTCTGTTGGCAAGCGCAGTTACCCACTTCTAGAAGTAAAAATTCAAAGATACCGAATGACAAGCAACCATTGGGTCACTACAAACCTTGTCGTACCTTCAGACTTCTCAAACAAGCTCAGTGAAGGCTTCGTCAACATTGGTATTATCCTTTGCCGACGTCTCGATGAATGGGCATCCAAGAGACTTTGCTAGATAGATACCCTCTGGAAATCATGGTGAGTAGATGGCCACGTAAATATCAGTGGGTGGAACTATATACCTTCTGTGCTAACCTGACACTCGGATAGTGGCTTATCACACTTGTTATGGAAGATTTTTTGATACAATCCTTCGATTTCGTCGAAGGTGCGGCGTGAGTCAATTGAGTACACAAGCAGGAAACCAACTGCCCTGTACATATGCCCATCCTGCAAGCCATACTGTTGATGACCCTGAATTTGGCCACCCCTGGTAGTTGGCCATTTGCATAATTCCACAATTTCAAGGGTGATTTCTGTCATTGTTTTTTCAGATAACTGTTGTGTGTATGCTGTAGGAAATCTGCACCAGCTTTGGGAGAGAAATACTGGTAAATTATGAAGATATCATGTCTGAGCCATGGCCGGCAGGAGTGATGGCCAAGATTTCATAAGCCGAAATGGGCCTGCTGCCGATTCTGACCTGCACCTCTCGTTCAAGTCAGCCCTCCTCTGCATGGGACAAAATATGGTGTATGCTTGAAGGTGTCAGGCACTAGAATGCAATACTGCCTTGTCACGGTATAGACACTGTCTTCCATAAATGTACTCCCAAATTGTGCTCTTAATTTATCATGCCCTGGAAACAACCTAAGTTGTAGTCTGTGCCAGAAATGATGTACTTGATGGACTGACACAAAACAAGTTGGAATATACAATGTGTATGCTAATAAATCTGATATTATGCTTCTCTGAATTTTTTGAATTTTTTGAATACTCTGCTGGGGGGGTAAGTGTTGAATGACCATATTTTGACCCATTGAATAACCAAAACAGAATCTTTGCCAAATAACATGGCACATTGAGATTTATAATCTCTAACTATACTCGAGATGGTAAGGTATAAACGACAAGTGTTTTTGTGGCAAAGGGACTTGTGTAGCTTGAAGGAGAGAGGGAGGAAGTCCTGAGACACTTGTTGACCATCTTATCTTGGCCAGCTATCAACCCAATTTGGTGTGATTTCAGGGGTGGCCAAACTCTGTATAAACACCGAAATTCGACACCACCCTCTTGTAAAATTCACTACAGCTCCCAGGTGTTTCTAAAAATCATGAAACTTTGTAATTAGGAGCTAAAGACATATTTCTATGATATAGTACCACTTTTGTGACATAGAAAGTGGTCTCACTGGAGAGAATTGACTCGACTTTTGAAAGTGCCAAGTTCAGGGTCATCAACAGTAGTATCCACCCCTGTAACCAAAACAAGCAAATTTAAAAAGGAGTTGAGAATGGAAAATAACTTGGTGTCCCAATTTTTGGGAGCACCGCTGCCTAAACGCACAGGCTTGCTCCAAAGAAAAAGAGGAGAGTATAGCTAAGAACATGTATGTGTCTCCACTGTGAGGCCAAACGGTATTGGGAATGTCGAGTGTAGCACTCTCATTGTCAATAATAATTTGCCTTCTGTAATATGATTCTAGATACATAAAGAAGGGGTATTAGAATATCGCTTCTCTCGGATATTTGTCAGCCAGCGCACATACCTTCCAAGGTGGGATCATACTGCTCCAAGAAATGGTGGAAGGCAAACTGATCGCTCCAAGCAGTCCTCCCGATGCCTTAATGTGCGCTTTAGAACAAATTATCTGATGAGGGTATGGTCATAGTGACCACCACAACCGCCAACACAAAGCCTCAGCCTATATTCCTGCCATTGGGACTATTAGTGTATGATGAGCAGTGTGAGAGGATGAGGAAAGGATAAAACTCACCTCCTGGGCCATATTAACAAGCTAGAAGGATGAGGAAAGAGCCTGGGGCAAGGAGAACGTGGATGGATATCAGTATCACTGTTGATTGGAGAGCGACTGTCATCAACAGATAAGATCCATAGTGTGCTGTTCCAGTACACTCCCTGACTCTCTTCTGGCACACTGCAAAGGATACATCGGCTTGCCATGCCATTCGTTGCCAACCTTTGGTTGGCTCCTTGCTGCCCGGCAAGTGTTACCCCGCATACAGTAAGGTTTTCGTGAGCCTCTTTTTGAATCTGCAAATGTCAGAAGTAATAATAGCAAAATTGTCCATCTTTGAGGTTTAATTTTGACAAGTAATGCAGTGGCACCCATATATATGAAGCTCCCAGCATCTAACTTGAAGGTTTAGGCACATCTTAGGGCGGCTTAACAGCCAGAATGAGGGTGTGAGAGGATTTGACTAAGAACTGTACAGTTGGAGACAAACAAATATAAGCAAAGGGAAGTCTGAGTGGATGAGGGAATGTACTATATTGGATCGGATGTTCGCCCACCCAGCTGAATCACCCACCTCGAGTTTCTCAGCACCGAGGGGCCCGTTCATGCTGAAATTTTGCACACTAGCTGCTATTATGTGTCTGATAACATTGCTATATTTTTTTCACCAAAATTCGAATGGGAAGGAGGTTTGTTTTACTTGTCCATTTGTCACTGCATGTCACACTTTTGGCGGGGTGGGAACCAGGTGGGCGAATTGCCCTGCCAAATTTGATGTGACATTGATGTGACTGGGTGATTGAAGGGGGTGGGCGAACATCCAATCCGATATAGTATCTGTTCCACAAAACCCTCCCTCCATACTTATGTAAGGAGAGTCGGGGATATTGGTGCCTACGGAGGTACTCTCCGGCCGACAATCCCGGCCATTGTTAAGATATGGGTGGAGGTTGGTAGCGAGCCCGCCAATATACCTGACACTACACTGTGACTTAAGCCAGAACTGCACCTTCATCATTAATGTGTTTGTGTTCGGTATAAAAGAAGAATAAACACCGTGAGTTTGAATTATTTTTTAATAGGAATTGGTAGGTGCGATCCGCAGGTATTCAAGCTTCAAGTCGCGCCCTGGTGCGTTAGAGAGAAAAATATCCCACTTGACTGTCTGGAAAGCCGCGAAGGTCTCTCTAAGGGTACACATACTCATATTCCTTTATTTGTCTTTCCTCCGTAAGTTACCCAGCGCAATAATCGGAAAAAAGCAATCTACCGTCACTGAAATAGTGATGCCTGCACTCAGCATGGCGTTCAGAAGTTCTCATGTGCGTATCCCTGGAAGCAAGCTACATAGCGACAATCGATTTTCTCGAAGCTCGGAAGGAGCTGCCCGTAATCATTGGTTTTCTCCAGGCGACTTTTGACGTCACACTTGCACCATACCGGACAAGCTCACTCGCAACTTATTCTATAGCTCTATTATAAATGAGAGAATGAATTTGAGAGAAGCTATGACACGGATAAAACAAGAGTCAGCTAGGACACTGATTCACAGCACAACACAGCGAGGAAAGCAGCCAGGTGCATCCTCTTGTGGACTTTTAGCACGGGGGCTTATGAGCGCAGTTTGCCGCTGATGGATGGAAAGATCAGAAATTAAACGTCTAGAGAGCGCCGACCAGTAATAACCTTGTCGAACTTCCGGATTTCCCGCACGAGCTCACAAAAAGCCTCGTCCACCTTGGTCCCTTCTTTCGCTGATGTTTCGAAGAACGGGCAGCCGATCTGCCTTGCAAGGTCCATGCCCTCTGGAAACAGACAACAGGTGTGAGCACGAAAGGCAGACAAATCGGGCAGAACGTTCGATGGAAATCTAATGGCATACCATCCGTGGTGACTTCTCTCTCCCCTGCTAAATTATCGCATTTATTGCCCACAAGGACGAGCGGAACAGAAGTTGCGTTCTTCATGCGCAGGATTCTCTTACGGAAGATATCGATGCCTGTGAAGCAGGATCGCGATTTAATGGAGTAGACGAGAAGGACTCCGTCTGCATGACGGATCTCGTACTCCAGCAATGCCCTGAGAACAGAAATATCAGTGAAGAAGAATCTGCTCGAGGTTATTATGCCCCGGCCCATAAAATAAAGGCGGATGTCAGCTGGAAACACTCACTCGTACTCTCCCGCCCCGTCAGAGCGGTAATTGGTCTCAAAAACATTGAGCAAGAAGAGTTCATCGTCAACGACAAATTGCTTGCGATATCCATCTACAGAAAGGATAAGGGAACGGGGTCTACGACAGGCGCATAATCAATTGACGCACCTTCGAGTGTAGGGTCGTACTCTTCGACAAATTGGCCCGTCACGAAACGAAGTGTCAAAGCAGTTTTCCCGACGCCTGAATGTACGATTAAGGGATAATTATGCGCCACAAATGCGCCAATGGAGACCTGCTTCGCCAGCGACAACCACCTTGTATTCCTTGAACTGACCATATCAGTGACGTGACGAAGCATGAGTACTGGAGATGTGAATTTCTGCGGTAAATGTACCTTTGCAGTCATAGCAGCAGAATATCTTCGGTGGAAGGAATGATGGAAGAGGGGAATGACCGTCGAGAGGCCAAAGCAACCCCGGGGGGTAAACGCCGCGAAACCCGGTCTAGCATTTACTATAAACGTAATAAAAGCAATACTGTGCCGAATAATCTCTAGATCGCATGCGCACACTTGAGGGATATGTTAACAAAAGATCTCTTTCATTGCCAACCATTCTTCGTGGGCGCGGCGAACTCTGACTTCACGTCAAACCAGACACCCAACCAAGGCTTACAACCATTTCACAGCTTTGCTTTCTCTGCAGTCGGAACAGAGCCCGACAGACCTTGACCAATCAGACCGCCTGCTGGGGCTGCAGTGAAACCAGCGTCGACGGGCAGAATGACCCCCGTCATCCACCTTGCTTCGTCGCTCGCCAAAAACCGAACCGCACACCCACAATCCCACCCGTTGCCTTCTGTCTTCAGTAGGCTGCTTTCTCGACGTTCTTCTCTCACTTCTGGGGTCATACCGTTGGAGAAGAGCATCGGCGTGTAGAGCATCCCTACCAAGTCTCCTCAGTGATCAGTAATTAGCAAGATGAACTGAATACTCACCAGGGCAAACGCAGTTCACCCTAATCCCGCTCGGCGCATGGTGCGCCGCCATCGCGCGCGTCATATTCACGATGGCGCCTTTGCTCGTGGGGTACAGCAGCATCGGCATCCCACCCACCAACCCCGTCACGCTCGAGATATTCACGATACTGCCCTGACCCGCGATCGGGTGCCGCACGTTCCTCTCCATCGCAGGCACAGCGTACTTCGTCATGAGCATCATGCTCCCAACATTGATCTCCATCCCCCTCACCCATTCCGCCGGGTCGACATCAACAGCAGTCCCATCAGGCCCGCTGACCCCGACGTTGTTCACGAGAATATCGAGCCGGCCGAACGTAGAAAGCGCAGTGTCCACTGCGCGCTTGCAGTCTGCAGAGAGGGTCACGTCTGCTTGGACAGCTATCGCCCTGTTCGCCCCGAACTCTTTTTCGATCATCGAGACGGTGACGTTCGCCCAGTCGAGGTTCAGGTCGACGCAGACAACATGTGCACCGGCTTCTGCGAGTAAGATCGACGCGGCGCGTCCGTTGCCTATGCCTGCTGCGCGAGAGCCAGCTCCAGTGACGATTGCGACGCGTCCTTCAAGTGAACGTGAGGGGCGAGGAGGTGAGGTCGGATCGTGAGTGCGAGACATGATCAGGGTGCCGTTGAGGCTGAATTGTGCAGCAGGCTATTTATACCGAACGGGAGATCTAGGCCACGAGGCTTGTCATGAGTTCGAAACGCAAGCTCAAGGAAGTACAAGACACACATTAGAATTTTGTCCATTGATACAAAGGGGTATACAGGATTCATCAGTAGGTCATGAAAGGGTCATAATAGTCGTCAGAGTCGTCAACATCATAGCGTCGGAAAGTAATAAACTAGAATAAAGAGATTCCGTAAGTAATGAAGAAGATCGTTGGTACAAAGAGCGAACAAGGAGAGGAAAGACCACGATCACAGTCCAAGATAGTGAAACTTCACCACACCATTTGATCAGGCCGACTTCGCACCTAATCCAAATAATCCCTTCTTCCCTTTCTCTTTCTTCTTCACCTTCAGGTCGTCTGCAGGTGAGGGAGCGTCCTCATCAGGCAATGGCACCGGTCCCAGCACCGGTCCATTCAGCAGCTCCTTCATCAGGGGCGAGCCAATTGGGACGTCCTCCAGCACAACAACACCTTGCTTGTCGGCAGGCTTGGGTCGTTCGGTCGGGATGGGTGGTACGGGCGGGAGTTCAGGAGGCGTCGGCGGTACAGGTATCTCCACCGTCTGCCTCTCAGTGGTCTGAGAAGTAATCGTAGGGAGGTTGGAGGATGAGGACGAGCGAGAAGGCGAGAGAGCACGGGGCCAGAAAGAGCGAGGCGACGTGGGCCCTTTGGGTAACCTCCACCTTCCACCTGCCGATGAGGGTGCTGGCGACGACACAAAAGGAGACGATGGATCAGGTATTGGAGTCGTGTCTGGAGTGGGCGTCGGTAAACCTGAATCGGGAATAGGCGTCGCTGGAGCCGGGGTTCCGATCGGTGGATCCGTAGGTGCAGGAGACGTCGGTAAAGAAGGGTCAGTTGTCGAAGGAGAGCCCGGCGAGGTTGGCAAGGAAGTGGGCGGCGAGGTAGGTGCTGGAGAGTCAGTGGGTGGCAACGGTGCTGCTGGAGGTGGTGAAGGTGACTTCGGGAAATCGTACTCATGCCATGTACCTGGGATGAGAGCAATGGGTAGAAGCCATGTAGCGGTGAGGGTAACTCCGAAACCTGCAAAAGTGGTAAATAAAAAATAGAAGTAGAAAGAAGGATGGCGACATACCAATGTCGTAACTCTTGATTGTACCCCAGGACCACGAGATAAACGTTCCGATGTACCCCAAGTAAGGTGCAAGCCGACGAAGGAGAAGCGCAGCAGGTTGAACCGCCAGAGGCAGAGAGCTAACAGGCAGGTTGTTGAAGAACCATGTCAGAGCTGTGGTGATCATTGCAGCGCGCTTCGCCGCCTCGATGGTTTTATCGCTTAGGATGGCGAGCACTGGCGGTGGTAGATACCTGGAAACCGACCATTAGAAGGGCAATCCCGATGAAAGCAAAAATGGATGACGCACAGTCGATAGCCCCACCACATCGCCTGGACAGACAGCTTGGTATCTGAAGGAACCCAAGCCCGTACTGTCTGGGTCCTGATCCTCCTCCCAGTCTCATCCACGCTCGTCCTCCGCGGAGAGATGACGACTTCACCGGACAGACGCTTGGCAACAGGCAGTTGCGGTGCGTCGTCGGCCTTGGCCCCGGAGAAGATCGACAGAGGCCACACAGAAGTCCATGATGCGCCCGCCTGGAGCGACCCTTCCTCCACGACCTCCTCTTCGATGGAGACCGGCACTAGCTCGGCGAGCTCGACATGGGAGTCTCTTGTTGGGATGAGCGGAGAGTATACCATGATGCTCGAGTTATCGGAGAACATGTCCTGGTCGTCATTCGGGTCGTGCCTCGTCTCTCCGTCCCCACCCCGTTCTGCTTCGTCGCCTGTAGGTGGGAATCCATGCGGTGGCACACCTATGCCTTCCAACACGCTCCAAACGCTGGGTCGTCGACTGCCATCACTCCGAGTCCCGTTCATGATCGAGGCACTCGAGAGGAAGGAAATCAGCCTGGAATCCTTGATGGGGGTAGCATTCGGAGGTGGAATGGGGCGGCCGTCTTTGTCCCTCGCTGGTGGTTTAGGGGGTTTGACCGGTGGAAGTTCGGACGGCGAGTGGGGGAAAGATGGGAAGGGGAGAGCGTCGACGAGGTCCTGGATGCGCCGTGCAAGGGTTTGCGCCGTTGGCGTTCTGTCCTCCGATGGCGAAGCGACGACAGTCGGGCTTCCAACAATGGTTGAAGAAGGCTCGTCGAGCTCCGCGACCATGCTGAGCATTTTCGTATGAGCAGAACTCGGACCTGCGCCTGGTGACGAATTAGCTTGGGTGCGGGACGGTGTATCCTCGTCGGCAGTTGCTGGAAGTGTTCCATCTGCACTCATCCTTGGAGACGCGAGCCCTGTTTTACCGTACCCAGCGACCTTCCTGAGCTTGCCCAGAGGCAGCTCCTTTCCCAACTTCTTCAGACGATCTCCAACACTCGGTCGACGCTTCTTCGCGGTGTCTGAAGATGCCGAAGTCGCACTAATCGTCTGTTTAAGCGGAACCGCTGGTACGTCTCCGATGACGCCTGGTTCCCCTGAGGTTCCCTTCGCGCTCCGCCCACTCAGGGTACGCACGAGGCGATATACGGCGCCAGAATTGGTGTCAGGAAGTGAAGAGGAAGACGCGGAGGGATCGGAAACCATGATGGAGAACGGTCACCACCACCACCAGCGGTGTTGTGGTAGACGTGAAGAACGAATGCCAACGTTTCTGTAAAGAGTAATTTACCGTGGGAACAAAACAAACGATTAGATTAGATATCTCCGTTACTGACCTGCAGGAAGACGCCAAGAATGCACCTACATACGTGGACGACGACGGCGAAGCCAAAAGGGCGCAGAAACGTTTTTCTCCGCCCACAACGTGAATTTCAGTCGTCCGGAGGCTGAATAAAAATTGTAGGGAGACAAAACGTGGTGCTAAGCTGACAGAGTTTCCTAACGTAATCTCGACAGACACTTTTTAAAGTTGTCGGGGTCGACCCTTTTGACCACCTTGGTTTACTTGAGAGAGATTCAATTCCGAGCGGCTAGTCGTGAAAAAATAAATCTTTGAACCCGCCGAAAGTCGCTCGGCCCAACTTCAGGTAAATTGAGAAATATTTTTCGAGCATTCATCGGTATTCCCGAGACTACCAAATGAACGGCCTCAAAACACCCCAACCCCCGTGCGGAGCACGGGCAAACCTTTCGTCAAGGCTAATACAAGAAGTTGACCATATGCACAGTGTTCAAAGTCAGACTCTCACCTGTACAAGGAGGAGAGTGTGGGAGTGCAGAACCGAGCATTATCTTCTCCCTCCGGGCGAAATCGACGATGTGTCGGCGTGAGAAAGACCATGAGCGATGGCTACATAATGATGGTGGCCGAGCTTGAGGAATGGGCAGAAGGATGAAGGAAGGAAGAAAGCATGAGAGGCCATTCCCATATAACCTCTTCATGGTCGACGCACAGACCACATACGTCATCGAGTGACAAAATAGGTTAATGAGTTGCCTGATTTGACCGGTACCGTCGTCTGCACCTGCACGAGTATTGAACTCTAGATCCAACAGCCGTGAGGATCCTCACATGTTCTTCCCAGCTTTCATACACATAATAATGTTTCTCTCAGTGAGATTATTTCTCAAACGGTGTACAATCTTTCATATCTCAATCATGGTCGCGCTTTCTACGATCTTGAACAATCTGGGAGCTTTACATGCTACTCTTTTCCATGCTTTTATATGGGTTGCTGAGCCCGCTTGTAAATATGAGGAGAAAATGAATATTTACATATGCGATAACAAATACTACACGGAAATAGAACTCGAAAAAAGGAAAAGCGTCTCCTTCTAAGCGAAATTTAAATTCCAATTCAGGCGGCTGGTGGGACAGTGGGCTGCGCCTGAGGTGCTCTCGTGAGGAGAGGATAATCCGAGCAGTACGGGTTGATTGGAAGCGGGTTCGGTTCAGAACCGTCGTTGCAGACCGCCCAGGGAGGGTTTACTGCGACGGGAGGTTCGGTGGGCATTGGCGCTTCAATTGTTGTCGAAGGGGCGTCGCAGCTTGGGACCATAGTCGCTTGCGCAGGGCCACGTTGGAGTGGGTTGCAGCCAGGAAGTTGGTCAATGTCTGTGAAGCGTGTTAAAAGATTCATCGATATTCCAGAAGGAAACGCGGACTAACATGCTCCATCGACGACTTCGGCTACTTTCTCTGGCTGCCTGCAGTTGTTCATGTCCTCCGTATCCTGCAATGTGAGGACGGGGCAGTTCCACGGGATACCATCGCCTGACGTGCATGCATCCATCGCGCGCTTGAGAGAATCGCCTTCCCAACCGAAGACGTAATCCGCGTGTTGCCCAAACCCAGTCCTAATCGACTCCATGAGCTACCCCCTCATCGAAAAGATTGGTAAACTTACGGATCGCCCATGGCGAAAACGAAAGGCTGACCACCCTCTGGCCACAGAGAGAGGTCGTTGAATGGCCGCGTGTCCCAGTTAATCTCGATGAACAGTAATGGAAGCCTGACTGGGTGACTTGCGGGGCAGTTGGTGTTAAAGAAACCACCGATAGGATGGGCGACATGGCTCTTCGGAGGCATTAGACAACCAAAGAAAAAATAGAGGTGCAGAAGATACTGACCGAATGGTCGGGTGAGTCGATGTTCACGCCATCCCAGCATCTGCATGTCCTATTAGTGCTGGATTCGAAACCAAGAAACCCCAAGATGCATACTGAGGGAAATAGATGTTCGAACGAATACCGCCGCTGCAAGGTGTCTTGGGGAACTCGAACGTATCCGGGAAAGCTCCTGGAGCGCCTATGCTACCCGGGTCCTCACCTTCGAAGCATCTGAATGTCGTCGCCTGAGCCGCCGTGTCCCTAGGGTCGATGTCGTCACTGCGTCTCATAGGATTTCCAACTATCATGCGGAATCCCTTGGTATCATTGTCACTCATCGGACATGATTAATAATTACGGAGGAACACACCTTCGGGAAGATCGTGAATGGGATACCCCCGTTGGGTTGGAAGTAGTAGATGGTCATGCCTCCGGATTGCAGTCCGGGGCCTGTGTTGTGGTTCGACATTTGTGGAACCTATGTATAATAAATCGTTGAATTCCACCAAGGGGTTAAATGTCTGAATCGCAATCTTACCCGAATGAAACTTCCATTAGGATGATGGAAGTACAATGCGGCAGTCCAGTAGTTCGATTTGTCTTCCACGAATCTGCAGGTCGTACAGGTCGAGAGAGCAGGGAGGTCGTTATCCGGGTGCATGGTGAGGTTGAATCTGAAGGTCAAACGTTGGTATTAGGACAACGCCGAGGAAAGTCGAACCGCAGCCTTACGCATTCTAACACGTTCGTGACAAAGGGCGCATAAGTGACGCAAACCCAATGAGTTAGATCGTCACTCACCCCTCCGACAATTTGATGGACATGAGGGGAGACCTCTCCCGGCGTTACTAACCTATTTGCGCGGGAAAGGCGTCAGACGGAAGGGGGGATTGGACGGGAGGCGACGTACGGGTCGAAGCGCTCAGTGACAAGCTGGGAGCACCCAAAGCGAATGAAAGCATGGGCGTACGGCAAAGCCGCGAGAGTAGCCCCCAGGAGCAACGTTTTCCACTGCATTGTCAGATGCAGGCAGTGTATGGACCGTCAGCAAAAATCTAGGTTGAACCTCGCATGTTTATAAGGCCACACAGTTCCTAAATATAGGCATGGGAGCCAAGAATATTGGGGCCAAGGTGCCGTGCATTCGAATCAACTTCGAGATACAAGAGGCCGGGAAAATGGGGCAGAGAAACTACGAGATCCGGGTGGAAACGCACCTTGAATGCTTTCGGAGTCAGAAGTGGAGAAAAGTGGATTGTAAGCTCGACGCGTTGTCAAGTCAAATTTATCCAACAGGAAAAGCGCACGGCGATTTACAGCTCGCCCTGCTTGTTGAGGGCCATAATGCCTCATTTCGTTCCACTATGCTTGGCCGCGAGGCGACTCAGCGAGTCGGCGTAATTGCTATTCTTAGACCACTTGCAAGCTTTGCTATCGCCTTCTCTGTGTGACCGATGCTCGGTCGAGAAGCGAATCATAGAGGCCATATGTATCGAGTCAATATGAGAATCGTCCTGTGCACTCATTGGAAGCCCACAAAGTTCCAGAGTTCTTCCTCGGTACTTTGCCCTGAATCTCGAGCTTTCCTACTGGATGGTATAAACAGAACGATGATAAGCCCGAGCGTCAAATGCAAGGAACGAAGGTATACTTTTGGTCTCGGTGTTTCTCGCTCCTAGAGGAGAATGCCACTTAACCACAGGTGTCACGAGGTAGATACGAAAGTGGCTTTATTTTCCCTCGACGGTTGACGGCGAAGTCGGAATTTTTCCAGCGAAGAGTTGTGAGGAGGGTGCTTATGCCAGTAGCGAGCGTAGTACACGAAGGCCAAGATACACGGAGTCAGCAGACTGGAGAAACGATTGAGGCTGTTCAGATAATCCAGAGCGAATAAAGCCACAGTCGCGAAAACGTGCCGATTCGTGCTGTCGTCGTGTTTTGGATTCAAGGCATTGTCGTCGCTTGCGATTCAAGGATGATGTGCTATCCTAAAAACGGTTCCTGGCAAACCGCCAATTGAAGGAGTTGTGACGTGTTTTAGCAGAGTGAGTGAATGAAGACCTTGGAATCAACATCGGCAAAATGGCACCTTCTTGGAAAGAGTTTCGCATAATCGACGTAAGGATCCTGAACGAAGATACCACTCAACAGCGGCAATGTCTGGGTATAAGAGAACAGCACGTACACTGTGCGCCATGTTGTCATCTTGCCGCGGAAAGTCCTGAAAATTTCCCGTCGGGCTTGTACTTTTATTTGTGAGGAAACAACGCAGATCGGGCCTACAAAACTTGATGAAAAGGATAAACAAACCGACAGCGGGCGCTTCCAGTAAAAATAGGACGGCAGGTTCATCTTTCGACGTACATCCTAGAATAATAACAGGTTGTTTAAAGCTCTTGAATGTGATCCAATATTGGGACATACCAAGCCATCGCCCGAACCAGGAACGAAGGCCTCTTCGGTGAAACGAAACGGGGTAACCAAGTGCAGATAGACAAAGTTCGAGGCGAACATGAAATTGAAAGGGGGTCAGTGATTCGTCAGATAGGGCTGTGTCAATACCAGTGAATCATTCTCGGAGGACGTAGCTCAAGGAGACTGTCGCAAAGATAACAGATGTTCAAGAAAGGCGAAACTTCTATCCTTGGGGCAGTCCTCTTGAGTGGCCGCCGGCAGAATGACGCAACGTTGAGAAAATCCATGAAGCGAAGGTGAATTGACCGCGGACATATATCATACGGCAGTACAATTCGGAAGGCGAAAAAGATACATGCGTAAGTATCTGGGAGCGGTCCTGTTTTAAAATAGCGAGTTAGCTATACATCGAAAGGATCAAGGATTTAGGGAGTGTCAGGATGCATAATGTGAGCACGAAGAGGATTTCGCGAATTGAGTCAATGCAAAGCAAGCGAACACGAACCATTGAAATATACATCCCATCTATTCAGCCTATGCGCTCCCTTGTCCTTCATCACGACATACTTCCCTCAACATCTCCCTCAGCTTCGCAGGAACCATCAAATCGACACCCCCCTCGCCCGTACCCTTATATACAAGCCCGACTCGTCCTAGACCCTCTCCAAACCGATCATACACTGCACTCACCCGCTCGACGACGTGCTCGAGCAGGACGCGTGCTGTGCGTTCTTCCTCCAGGTATAGTCGCACCCGTGCAACGGCGGAACGGAGGTCGCGCTGGATAGCTTCAAGAAAGAGGAGATGTGTTTTGGGTGCGGATGTTGCCAGCTCTTGGATAATTTGTGGCGTGATTGCTGTTGATGTGGTGATCAGAGAGGTCGCAAGGGCGGTTTGCGGCGCTCCTGCTGGTCCAGAACCGCCTGATGGATTAGTTGAGGGATTGAGGCGGGCACCCCATGATTCGAGTGGGTGGCATATCGGTGCAGAACATGCGGCAATGACGTCCTCGCACGCTTTGCGCAGGCTGGCATCAATTTCCTGTGGATTAGGTCAGCACCAAGATTAGGAATAAATTCCGAATATGGAAGCAATAAATGACCAACATCGATTGGAGGAAAACGACCGAAAGAGTAGATCAAACTCAGAAATACGTACCAATTTTACACCCCTCAAATCACTTTCGGCACCCCTCGTCACACCCAACGACGCAAACAGGCCTTCAGGCAGGTACGAAGTTGTCTTGGTGAGCATGTTTGTCAACGTCTCTGCAACGACGTCTTAAACATCAGTTTCATCGATATACCGAAAAAAAGGCAATAACATACCGGCAACTCCGCCAGACACCGAAGATCCAACAGTAACACCTAAGCTTCCGAACTCGACCGCACGACCCGTTGAAGGGCCACGCGGGCTCAGCAACCCGCCTCCAGTAGCATTGCTACTCCCACCAATGCTGGTGGTCCTACCACCACCAGAACCGATACCATCTTCATCGGACCTCTCTTTCAGATCGGCCTCCAAACTGGCCAAGATCTCCTTAAGGATTAATAGATGCCTAACAGTGAACAGTGCCCCGTCCAATGCACCTGTCGTCCTTCTCTGCTGAGCCAGGGCTGGCTGATCTTTGCCCGGCTGCCCCGGAGCAGCGGCAGCAGCATCCTTCGCCACACGAATCGCCTCGCCCGCGGTGACGATCGATGCCCTACACACACCCACGGCCTCCTGTGCGATATCCTCGAAGATCGCTGGCTTGATGAAATCATGCAGCTGCGCCAGGACCCACACCATCTTCCTCAGAGTCGGGTACCACGTCTCTTGTCTCTGCAGAGCTGGATTTTTGGTGGCGTCAGATAGTGATTGGGAGAGGAAGGTTGAAGGTGGCGCTTTTTCCTGGAGGGCGTAGTCTGCTAGAGGTTTGTTTGCAGCTGAAGGGATAATCATTTGCACCATACTTCAACGAAACCGAAAGAAGGATACACACCAACAAGAATATCAGGCCACGCCAGGTCCTCCGGCCGAGGCACGTAATGTCGGATCTCACTCTGGATGACGGATTGAGCTTTGAAGAACAGCCGAGTCTGCGCGTCCTGGAGGACCATCTTGAGCAGGTGGCCAGTGTGAAGGCGTTTGCCAACCGCGTCCCGCTTTCTCTCGTGGCCAGCCTCCATCCCGATCGTGAGCTCCGATGATGACGAGGAACGTGAAGAGCGCCGGGCTCGAGTGGGTTTGGACTTGGAATCAGCTGGGGCTTCGTCTTCCTCTTCAGAGTCACCTTCGTCGGAATCATCTGCTTCTGAGGGTGTGCTGGAGGAAGCTGCCGACTCTGAACCCGGTCCGGAGGCGTCGAGCACCATGAGCGCCTGCAGTACCGTGCACACCTCGCAAAGCACAGTCAAGCGAGGTTCATGCAGGATCCGCGGTCGCAGATCGTCATAGAGCAAGTCGCAAAGCGTTTCAAGGTATTGACTTAAGTTGTGGGATCGGTGATCAGTCCGACGAAATAGTTTGAACAGGAGAGGAGGCTTACTAGAGTTGATCCTCGGCCGTACTGAAAAACTCGCGATAGAGGTAGAACTCATCCGTGCACAGTTGCTTGAGGTAGCTGCATCCCGCTCTCGTCTACTCAGGAACGTCAGCGAAAGATTCAATTGCAAACCCGCATCGTCTCAACGATGACGCACCAGCTCAACCAACTCGCTCCTGCCCGGATCCAGACCTCTGATTTCCTCCATGATCCTGGGCACCAACAACGCTCTCCTCGTAGCGAAGTACGCACTGCGGCACTCTCCTAGCAGAGCACCAAGCTCGTCTGGATAGGCAGCAGCACGTCGCTCGAGTTCGCTAAGGAGAGGTGAAACTCGGCTTGCGACTGAGAGGAAGCGGGTGTAGAGAAGGTGGTGTTGGGCTGTCATTGATACCTCCTGTGTTCGTAATGTGAGTTCAGGAACATAGCGGCACTAGAGGGTACGAATACACACCTTGTCCGAGATCCGTTTGGATATCTCTGCAGATAATGCACGTAGAGAGCCAACAAAGTTCATCTTGATGAGCGTCATGGCGCGTGTCATGCACTGCTGAAATCGTAGGAGGTAGACCTCTGCTTCGCGATAATGTCTCTACTAACACATCAGTACCAGAAATCCAAAAGTCAAGGAATCAGACGTACGTGGCCCCTCAAAAAATCAATGCATACATCCACCCTCTCCACCATATACAAGAAATCCGCCTGGAAAATCAACGACTCTCCAGGATGGTTCAACATCCGCGTCGCATGCTCCAGCTCCTGGAAGTACTCCAGCGTGCCCCCAATCTCATCCACCATTCCCACCAAAGTGTCCCTCTCCTCCAGCAGCCTCTCACACGCACCTTTCAGCGTGTTCCCTCCCTCTTCGACTGAGCGCCATCCCTCTAGCATGCTACCTACTTCTTCCTCTATTGACGCGATGGAGGAGAGCAGGAGGTCGCATGTCTCGAGGTGGGTTGACAATGACGAGAGATGGGCGCGGTAGTGGGCTTCTTGGGAGTGTGCGACAGACCGGTCGATCAGGGCGAACCAGTCGTAGAATTGTTGTGGTGTTTGAACGGGGTGTGAGGGGTGCAGTGCATGTGTGGGCCCTGCGGTTCGTGGTGTTCCTGGGGTGGAGGTAGCGTTTGCCGGTGTGCCAGGCCGTGAAGGCGCCAGGAGTTTGTTCGCCAGTCTCTGCGACACAGCACTTGGTATGGGCGTGCCAGGAAGGTCAGGCTCTTCAGCAAACTAATGAATTGAATGGATTTTGTCATTCCATATGCGCATATATGGACAGTAAAAGCATACCTTGAGCGGCAAAGGGACCTTCTCAGTGGCCTTCATCACCTTCGCCACGGTGCGGATCTGCAGTTCGCTCAACGGCGCTTTGCGTTCCCATTCCTCTAAACTAATCGTCGCGCGAGCAGTAGATCCTGAGGTGCCGCTGGACGCGCCGATAACGCCTGTTCCTGCTGTTGAAGAAGTGCTAGGTGTCGAGGATAAGGCGAGCGAAGACGGTGTGCCTCCGCGTCGCGTTGAGGCGACATTGCTCGGGTTCAGAGTATTGCTCGAGGCCCACGATGTCATGATTTACGGGTATTGCGATGCATATATGGCTGGGGTTTGTCGTGGTCGTGGTCATCGTTTACTATACCAGCTGTGTCGCTTTTCATCGCTTGCCAAACATTGATGGAGGACCCGGCCCGGCCCGGCTCTAAGTAGCTGCCCATTGCGCCAACTTGCATTCAGAACGCGCGATGGCAATTTCAAGCAGAGTCAGAGGAGATATGTAATGCAATTGTATAGCAGATAGTCGACCACAACAGTAGCTAGCATTGGATGTGCAATCGGAGGTTGCGAGTGAGAGGGAGAAAGAAAAGGAGAGTATAGGAAAACCTGAATCAAGAAGGAAAGAAAACTGAGAGAAGTCAGATTCGTAAGTGGCAACGCGAAAGAGAGGTCGGAGAAGTCGTCGAGAACAGATGTAAGAGTGCGACAACAGGAGCGCATTTGAAGTACAATCACTGTTGCCGGTACAATCATGCATCGAGATAGAAGTACACTGGCATCCCGTCCGGATTGTTCAAGCTGGGTGAAGGTATTGCGTATTCGAAAGATCGAAATCAGACCCACTGGGCCTTATCCCAGGCAGGGTCTTGGAGGAAGGCGCACAAGACTTTGCTTCCGGTCTGCAAAGAAGAAACGTAAGATCAGCATCACGCCCAGCAGCTTCTCGAACCATCGTTGCCCTGTCTGCATTCCTTCCGTTCATCCAGCTAACCACTCAACCGCATCACAAGGAGACCGTATCCCTCCTCAGCTCCGAACGACCGTAATCAAACCCAACATCGGACTGAGACTTACCTGTAGCAGCGGATGCCCTGCAACGATGCTCAAGAACCTCTCCAGACCTTCTCTGCGGTTCTCGATAACCTCGTCTGAGAAACGGTTTGTGAAGACTTTGCCAGGGAGCGGGGGGATGTTGACCCGCGTGGATTCGTGCTCGAGAATGTCGCGGAAGGCTTCAAAGTCGGAGTAGCGTCGGCGCACGAGCGAATGGCGCAGCTTGAAAGCGGGGATGTTCGTCTGTATCAAGCAGAATTCGAGAGACGACGGGAGGTGATAAGCATCGTGTGATAGCATACGAGAGAGTAAGCAGGAGCTGCGCTCACCTTGCATACGATCTCATAGTCCGTGTACATCTTCCGCCCGAACCCTACCCAAAAACTCAAAAGTCAGTCTTCCGCCCGAGGATAACCCCCGAGATGGGGTTGCGCATGAGAAAGACGGATGACTCACCGTGGGTCTGTGGGTTCCTCACTTCAATCTCGAGGAAGCTCTCGGGTACACTGTACATTTCCTCTATCTGCAGGATTTCACGGTCAGCGGCCGATCCTGGAAAACTCCTGACCCCTACGTTGTGGGATCCGAGGTGGAGTAGGGTTGGGCACTCACGGTCTGCTCTCTCGCCGATAGTAGAGACTCTTCGAACGCTGTGCTCCGGGCGAACGGAGATACGCTTGCGGCCATGGTTGGCGGTCGGACGGTGGTGGTGGATAAAGCCCCAATCGAAGGAAGGAGGTGGAGAAAGAGAGGGAAGAGAGGACTGGGGAAGCTGGTCCGAAGACGGTGGCTGTGTAGTGATGTCACGTTAGTCACACGTGCAAGTCTAGCTGATAAGATAACGACCATAAACGCCGTCTCCAATACAGAACGCCTGAGCACAGAGGATGAAGCGTAAAAGCAAAGCCAGGGAATGGGAACGATATTTGCGCGGAATTTGTGAGACCAGTATTGGCGTTCATCGCAACGACCTCCAAATTTTTGACTTCAACTTGGCTGTTCCGAGCAGCATCTTGATTGGGCATGCAGTAGAGAGCAAACTGCCCTTGCTGAACATATGTACCCTGAGCGCGTATAACGCTGACAAGGGGGTTGTGATGATTTGTGCCACGCCTCACGTCTCAATGCCCAACGCATCAGGTTTCTGACATTCTTCCTGATAGTCCAATAAGCGAGCTTCCACTAAGGGAGCATTGGATTTATTCGCGTTGGAACAAAATAGATATAATTATCGTATTTGCTCTCTTTGAAGAAATTGGACGCGTATCTGCTTTAAATATGAGAAAAAGGAAGAGCTGACTGGTTTCCGCTAGATAACTTACAATACAACATCAAATAGTGAAAGCATTTCGCGCCGACCACGAGCAGGCTTACTCCTCCATTGCGTACCTCTCTCCAAAGAACCCCTCTTCCATCGCTTTAATTTCTGTTATCCAACAGCGTCAGCAAACCATCCAGCGTGATAGAAGGAGATTCGAAAAGCACTCACGCAGCACCATATGTGACGAATGGAATCTACACAAGGCCAAATTCCCCAGCATATACCACAAGCCCTTGACGCCGATATCCCTCCAAGTTCCATTGAGCTCGCCTTCCTTGTTTAAGCCCCAGACCGACTTGAGCGATGTGGAGACGGAGGGTTCTACCAGGCGCCTGACTTTATCGAGCGGGTCGCCGAGACTGTATCGGCGATGGGTATTAAATTTAGACAATGCTCAGAGTGAGAAAGAATGGAAGACGAACCCGCTAGCCCAAACGATAACGTCTGCTTCCAGCTCCGTTCCGTTCTCGAAGAGGAGACCGCGAGGAGTATAAGATTTGATCGCACTGTCGGTCTTTAGCTTGATCTTGCCTTCCGCAATAAGCTTGCTCCCTCCGGTGTCTGAACGATTGTGGATACAACTGTGAGCTTTTCGTAAAATCGAATGTACAAACGCATGTACCCAGGTAGTACCCGCCCGCCTTATTCCACGCCAACAGCCCAAATCCAGTATCATGGATTCCAAGGTTTGTGCGGAACCCAACTTTATGCAGCGAATCGAGCAGATCTCTGGTCAAAGTATACCATCAGCCTCTCGTTGCGAGCAGGAGCAAAAAACTGCAAAGCTGAACCCGGACATCAAAAAAAGATATCCCAGATTGCTTGAAAATGAACATGACGAGAAAATGAGCTCACTTGTCAAGTTGAGCAACGTAGTGTGTACGGCGCTGGCTGAGGCCGGTAGCCATATGATGGGGGAAAGAGGCAGTGATTCTATCAGCGATATCGACAGGCGGACCGTCTTCCCAGTAGAGAGCTAGATCGCGAAACTTGAGCCAAACTTCCAACTTCAGCAGAAGAAAAATTCTCACATTTGAAGATGACCGGCCAACCCTTATCAGTCGACATGATGTAGGTGGAACCACGTTGGAACATTGTCACGTCGACGCCGTGCTCGTAGTAGTCGACCGAGATATCGTGTGCTGTCGGATGAAAAGAGCATCTATCTGTCAAGATCGATGTCTACGGGTACAGGACACTTACCAGAGGTGCAGGCACCGATGACGACAACCTTCTTGCCTGCATGGTCTTTCGCTCGTTTGTGCTGCGTCGAGTGCAGGACCTGGCCCTTGAATTCATCCTTTTCAGACGCATATAATCAGCGATTTGAGGTTCAAGACGTTTGAAAAACGAAAGGCTTACCCTCCCAGGATACTCGGGTATGTTCGGCTTCTCGCTGCCTAGACCGCTGCAGAACACGACGTGGTTGACCACCAGCCTGCGTTGAACGCCATTCTTGTCGATAGTCGCGACCCATTTGGACGTTTCTAGGTCTTGTTTGAGCGACGTGATGTTCGACGACGTCCAGACGTTCAGTTCCAGCGCATCAGCGTAGAATTCAAGCCAGTTCGCGAGTTTCTGAGATGGTGTGTACACTGGCCATGTCGGAGGGAATCTAGGAGCACAAAACGTTGATAAATGGTGATGGTGATGGTGGTGGTAAAAAACTTAAAAGAAAGGAAGAATCCGAAGATGCTCACGGGAGATACGGCATGTGATCGTACCCTAATCAGGACGCGTCGTTGTCAGTCTGAGTTTCGTTCTTACTACCACCATCAACATCGAGCACTCACAGACAGGATCATGGAGGCACAACGCCTCGTACCTCGACCTCCAATTGTCGCCCACACGGCCATTCCGTTCAACGATGAGGGATGAGACGCCCAGAGCCTTCAACCTCGCCGCTACCTCCAGCCCACTTTGCCCCGCTCCGACGATCAAGACCTGCGGGCTTCCATTCGGGTACGGCTTGGGAGGGGCGTTGGCATCGGCGTCTGCGTCGGCGAAGAGGACCTCACGCTCGCGTTGGGATTCCCACTTCCCGTGATTGGGCTGGTTGTTGCGGAGGGGTCCAATGTTCTCGGGGAACGCAGAGTGGGCCTCCAAGTTCGTGAACACGCAATGTGCCTTCCAATCCACCTCTCCTTGCTGACCGCCCTCTTTTGGAACCGGAACGAGGCGGACGATGCCGAACCCGACACCCTCCTCCTTCCCCTCGCGCACCTTGAAGTCGAAGAACGCGCTGATCCACGCGACGTCGGGGAAAGGGGTCTCGTACGCCGCGAATCCCTCCCTCAGGCGGACATCGTGCAGCTTCGCTTTGGGCAAGCACGCCTCGAGGAATGTCTCGATCTTCTTCGTTCCAGAGAAGGTTCGCAGGTCCCAGGCTAGGGCAAGCATGTCTCGCCACCACGAGTCCCTCGGGTTGAGTGAGGAGGCGATTTTCGAAGCTGCTTCTACTGGCGACTCAGCCGCTAGCTTCGCCGCGGTTTCGAGGGAGGCAAGCCATGTCTGTGCGATGGAGACGACTTCGCTCGGAGAGACGGTTGGGGCTGCGGAAAGCCCTTGCAGCTCGAGGGTTGGAAGAGGGGTATTGGGGATGGTATCGCTCTTGAGGTGAACCTCCATCCTTTCGATGTAGAGAGACTATCTGAAGTGATGGATTCAGGAATCGTTGTGATAAAGAGTCTGAGGAACGCGCAGGAGTGAAACTGTGTGGGAAGACGAATAGGTATACGTCCATATTTATAGCTTTCTGTTCTCCACCGTATGCCCTGTGCCGAACCTATGACATTGCTGTACTTGGCGCCATCTCTCCGCGGCGGTCTGCTCAAACGTGAGTCCATTCCACTCCTTCCAGACAAGCAGAATAAACGGCCCCAAGGTTCTAATCCGGAGTCGGCTACTCTACGCCCCGAACGCATTTTCAAGCACCGTATAGTTGGAACACCATCGTGTTGCGACACTCTTCCTTTGATCTATAGCGACAGACCGCAGCTAAAGGGATTCCTTTGACATATCAATAGGGGCGTTCCTTCCTTACCAGGATTAGCCCCTGTACCCCGTGGGGTAGGTGGCGTTCATTCTTGGCATCGACCGAGGTCATTACCGAGGATCGACGAGCTCACTTGACCTCGATATGTCAGCACACGTCTGCGCACGTCGGAAGACACTGAGTGCGTAGTCGATTGGTCTCACTCAGGGTCTGATCTCCCTGAACATTCCGGGGATCATGCCGAAAATGGATGGCAGGCGGGACAGGTATGACACGAGGCTCATCGCAGACCCCAGGAAGCCCATCAGCGCGTTAGCTGCGGGTTTTGACTTGGCGCCGCGTGGGCTAGATATGTACACTAAAAATAAGAGCTTCTTGCCGGCTCTTGCCTGTACGCGTCGCGTCGGTGGCTGGACTTGTGCGCCTCTAAACAAGTGCCAAGCGCATGACTCGAAGTTACGGAACGGTAGTATGATACAAGATGCGAAGCGCTACGAAATGCGGGCGCTTAACAAGGGCTAGTGTAGAAGAGTGACAAAGAGTTCGGGTGACGACGCAACGGCACCCACGAGCCTCAAGGTGAGGACAGCAGAGGGTGAATACGAGATGCAAACCATGTTATTGCCCGCAAATTTTTGATCAGTAGATTATCTATACTACAGAAACTATTCAAGCAAGAATGAATGAGTGGGGGATTAGGGAGGACACGCGATATGAATGTCAATGTTGGGAGAGGAGGAATTTCTTGAGGAGGAAAGGGAGGCATGCCGAGCGCATCGGTTGCCGTGAAAACGGGTGGTGCTTGTCATGGGCTGGCTGCGCATGCTGACGGAGGGTAGGCAGGCCCATCTATCTGCTGCCATGACCTGTATGACACGGTGGAAGCGGTTGGACACCATATGCAGTATAGAGTCCCGAAACACAGTGACGAGGTGATAAAAAATGTTCTTGCAGGTTTTACAGAGTCAGAGGGGAGCTGGCTCGTCACCGAGCTATAGAAGGCATCGGAGGATTGAATATGTTTGGAGTAAGGTGTGATTCTTCCCAGCGTTGGCAGCAATTAAGTCTTTCATTAAATATGAGATTCATTCTCGAACAGGCAAATGACGGTTTACAAAGGACCGATTAAGCGCTCGCTGTCGGATTTCGTCTTCAGCATGCTATCGATGCGTGGATCTATTTTCTCTATATTTATGTTTACTGTGTACATGTGTATCGGTTTAGTACTGTTGATTAAAATGCGACTTGTGTTTTGTGCCCTACAATGTGAACTAGACGGAATATGAAAGGTCCTTAAATAGGAGGCCCGCATTAGATGCGCATCCTCACTTGCTTCGCACTGAGGTTCGCATTCCGCAAACTGCCTGAGACTCGAAAAATACTACTTTACTCAGTCGACGCTTAAGAAGACAACAATTTATTTTATTGTATAAAGCTTTAATATCTGCACCCAGGATACAGCGCCCACGGGTTTGACCAGGATCGGATGGTAGCCGCCGTTGCTGGCTCAAGCGCTCACCTCCCGACTGAGATATATTTCAGACGAACTGACTTTCCCTCTCTATGATCCACGTGTCCATTATGGTATCTATAGGGTACTTGTTAATGTATTTAGATCTACGTGGCCTCTTTTATCTTTCCACTCCGAGCTAGGTAGACAAATCGCTCTCGGAGGAGCTGGCGACGACTCGCACAGCCACTAATCAAGCGCTCGTCGTCGGATTTGGATTGTAGCGCACCACACTATTGAACGCTGCATTATCTTTTCTCACAAATAAGTTTATTATGTACACTTCTATCCATTTATTATAGTTTGCCGGAAAGTTGGTTGGTGTGGCTAGCTATACGACATAAATTAGACGAAATCTCGAGGGAGATCAGAGAGATTCTCACGCCTGCTCACCGTTTGCGGCCCGCAGCCCGTGTCACCCGCAACTGCATCGTAGTCATCGAACGGCGATTATACAGCAAATATCTTATTCCGGGGTGTTCTGGGTCCTCCCGATGCTCAACTCTTCTGGTGTTGATGCGCTGGGGGCGGGAGCGCGCGAGGGACTGTATTTGGCCATTTCGGGCTATCCTGCCACCTGTCAGCATCGGGATCAGACCCTGAGTGAGACCAATCGACTCATCACTGGAAGACACTTACCCGTTGTCGCTTACGAACGGCAGGCCCGATCTGGACTTGACCATTTCCAAGATGAAGTGTTCAGAATTAGAGACGAAAAGCGCTGGAAGGTCGCTAAAGACTACCTCTATTTCAATAATGTTGTTTTAAAGCAAGTCCAAATTGCTTAGCTAATGTCTTCGAGTATAGTCTGCAAAGTATGTTTTTGCATTTGGTTATATGGGCCTCCATTGACTCAGTACGTACTATGCACACAGTTCAACCATTATATATAAACGCCTAACTCGAGTTATCGACCCTCTTGACGAAATCGGGCCTTCGAAACGTACAATAGCTCATTTCTGAAGGCAGTACGTAAGTTTGAGGCATCTTGTCTCGTCCTTCGAAGCTCGAATTCGGTGCACCGTGACTTTGTCCGCTGTACGTATGCCCCTTCCCACCCTATCTCCACGCCTCCATGTAGCCTTACGCCGACAGCGCACTCTGGCTTGATAGCTCGTGCCCCAGGGATAATGATTGTCCGCTCAGTAGCACCTGGTATAACCTTCGCCTTCGTAAAAATAGTTGCGGGTCATGTCTGACGAGTCACTTCTCCTGCCATCTGTGAAACTTTCCCTTCTTCATTTCTTCCAGCCGCAGCCTAGAGGCAAAAGAGGCGCTGGTGGAAGGCGATCGAGTGACCTTATCTTTGCGTTCCCGGCTTCGAGCATGGTCTGGCAGAGAAGAGTGCAGCCCATAGAACTTCTGGATAACGAGAGTCGTGACGGCCGTGTCACCGTCGAGGTCGATGGTCGTTTCTTGCAACGCGGTGCCTCTTTGCAACCCCAACCCCACAGTCCACATTCCTCTTTGAAGTATCCGAGGGTCAAGCTTGGTCTTCAAGACCGAGGTCCAAGTCTGGGGAAGTTGGACAGCTGCGAAGATGAAGACACAACCTGTGGAGAGAAGGGTGCGCACAACCATCTAGCTGTGCAACGTTGGCACTTTTCCATTTCTCGAAGGAAACCTTGTTCACCATGTTGACCTGACCTCGCCGAGCACTCAAGAAGGGGTAGACGGCTCTCGAGCGCTGAGTTCCAGATGATGTGGTCGATCAGTTCTATGGCAAACCCTGATATTTGGAGGAGACGACACTCGAAGTCAAGGAGGGATCAGCGTCGTGTACTCCTGGCTAGTCGGAGGAGTAGCAGGAGGCTGTCTCAAGGAAGACAGGCGGAAGACACAGCAATCTCAGAAGAGAGGAACATTGGAGAATTGATGGAATGGGGATCAGGGGGTGTAACATGTTGTAGAGTTGAGGATATAGTTGAGGACATCTCATCCACTAGGAGGTAGGTTCGCGGACCTCGAACCTCGAACCCCGAACCCCGAACCTCTGGGTTGGAGTCTGATGCGGCATGTCTGCCAGTTTTGCCGGGCGTCACGTGCCCATTGGCTCGTCCCATCATGGTCGCCTCCCGCCCCTACTTGCGTCTCATTCATGCTCTAGCGCCTTCCACACCAACCAGTACTACACACAAATTGGAGTATACACTCTAATACATCTGTTTATTATATATCCACCAGAAAAAGCTATCCCACATATCATGTTTGCGATGCAGAAAGCCAACAAAAGTCCAGGTCCCAAGAGCCTACCTAGGATGCAAGAACTCTGCATCTCGTCACTTCCTCACTTTTTCTTGTCCATTTCCTCTTGTTGGTATGGTGATTCTTTCTGTTTCTATCCTCGATATGTACTGACAAGCCCCAGAAACAACTCTGACATACGATGACAGAACAATAAGTAGTCGGCTTTGCAGTCCCTTGCTGCTCGGGTCTGTTGCTGTTTCCCCTGTTTAGAGGGCCTCCAGTCGGCAAGAGGAGGGTATAAATTGCTGTGCGATGGTGTGTGAAAGGTTTGTCATCATGCATCTTACTCGTCTTTTCTCCGTTCTCTTGGAGTCACCAGAACTGAGGGGTTCTCTTGCTCTCACAGCAGCCATTTAATTCCTCTGATATTCCCAAGCATCTCCCTGTCTATGTTGATGACTTTATATGTGCATCTCTCCAAACAAATGACAATACTGTCAAACAGGCCTGGCTATATCTTTGTGAGTTTGCCTGGGAAACAGGGCTTACAGAGGAAATCAAGCAGAAGCTTGCTCCAAAGTACCTCCAAACCTTTCTTGATCATGGGCTTTGCCACAGAGTTTCCTTCTATCACTTCCTTCCTCCAACTCTTGTCTGTTTGGACCCAAAGTGTCATCGTACTGTGAAGGGCAGTGGACAGGTTCTTGTCTCAAGGCCACTTGTTGAAGCAATCACTATTGAGGTTACTGTATTCACAATGGAACATGGTCCTATTCTGGGACATTCAACTTCGATGTATTGCCAGAATTGCCATACTCGCTACCATCCAAACCATTATGTTCACAACAAGGCACAAAAGTGAATGTACTACCACCAGTCTTTTGAATTCCTCCACATTGCTACCCACGTTTTTGTGTCCTCACGGCTTTGTGAGCTCTTCTTAACCATGATGGTGACTTCTTGGTATGCTCCTCACAACCTTGAGATGATTAATCCACATTATTAACAATGGATGAACATTTTTATTGCTGTTTTCAAAAAGGTTGGCGAAGCTGCCTTTTTCGGCGAATGGCCAATATTTCCGCAACGGGTGAGCTGTCATCTTCCAAGCCTCATATCTCGCGCAAAACACGTCCATTCGCAATGAGAGCGGGTGATTTGGAGAGCTACAGCTCTGTAGTACATGAATATGTAAAAAAAGGGCAATTTTCATGATACATTCACAAAACTGTTGGTTTCCTCTGTCTGGGCCAACAACTGAGATTCTGGCCTCTCATTTCGAACTAGAAAGAGTGTTATTGCTAGAACTAACATACAGGAACACTGCTGTAGGTATTTCTGTGCCTATTGGGAGACTATGGCTCAAGATCCTCGTGATGTAGTCCTTCAAGGACCCTGAGGCGGAGTTTCTGTTGTGAAGGAACTCTCAAACTCTCCCCACCATCCTCTGCTTGCAAGAATGCCTAACACATGACGTAAGAAAGCTGGAACAACTACCAAAAAGGCCAAAAAGTCTAGCACCTCGGGCAAGAAAGCTGCAGCTGCAGCGCTGAAGAGTCGGGCCACCAATGGCAACAAGAAACCCTTGCCTTTGAAACTCAAGATTCCTCCCCAGACATCAGAGAAGGACATGGCAGAAGAAAGCCCGCCCATTACTCCCCCTCCCAAGGTGTCTGTTTCAAAGGATGAGCTCGACAAGGCGATGGTTGAGCTTCTTGGACATGACCACACATCAGAGTGTGCATGGACTAGTTCCCGTGGGTCCAAATCTCCTGGAGTCAATGCCACCAGCAACTTCGATGATGGGGGATACAAGCAAAAGAGAGCTGCATCAGACAGCTCCCTAGACGGTGAATCCAAAGCTGATAGTGACAGCAGTGTTGAGATGGTGGCCATGGACAACATGGAAGAGGAGGTCGATGAGCTTATCGACGACAAGTCGGATGACCAGGAAGCTGAAGAAGAACTTGAAGAAGAGATAGGTGAGTCTAGGATATCTCTGTTTTCGTTCATGCCACTCACTGAATTCGGATTCCCAGTTCTGTTGCCCTTTTCCATCCCCTATGAGGGTGCAAACACCACCGTTGAGTTTGCAGCAGACATTGACTGGCCAACCTTCATCAGCAACCTTGCTGACACGCTCTCCATTGCACCTAAGGATGTCAAAGTTGCATATAAATTCAGTGTTTTGGCCCAGGGTGTTGCGTGGACACACCTTCGATGCGACAAAGATCTTTGGGTCTTGTTTGAGAAGGCTCTCACAGCAATGGAAAAGCAGAAGAAGAACCGTTCAGTAAAGGAGTTTGAGGTTGTCCTGAAGGACCTCCGCGTCGATGTGAAGGCAAGCAAGAAGGAGCCTGAGAAGAAGAAAGCTTCGAAGAAGGTGTGTTCCCGCTGTGGCTATTTTCTCATGTCAACGTCAGCACTACATAATGTTCTATCTTTAGAAAGTTGACTCCTCTGACTCGGACAACTCGACACCTGACCTGCAGAAGACCTCCAAGTCAAAGAAGAGCTCAACACAATGGGTCACATTATTGATGAAAGATAATGCCTGCATCGAACATTCAGGACAGGCATGCTTGAAGTTTGCCTCCCGTCATTATCAACTCACGAAGTCAGACCTGGGGGCATGGGCCGTCTTTATGGTGAGTCTTTACATCTGCATGTGGCATGATTTCCTGACGACCTCTCAAAGGCACAAGGTTATGAGTCCACAACAATACCGCCAAAGAGTCTGAAGATTGGTGACTCAGATCGTGTTGGGAAACCAAAGACTCCCGCAGCTCAAGGAGCACCTCATGCTGATCCAGCTCCTGCCACGCCAGCTCCTGCCACACCAGCTCCTGCAATGCAACTACCTCCAAACCATTACGGTGCTGGCTACTACCAGACACCCTTCCCGCCAATGCCTTATCCCATGTTTATTCCTCCAACTCCAGCTGCTCCTGGATGGCCACCTAATGCCCAAAGTCCCTATCAGTTGATGCGGGGCTCTCACGGCCTTGACAATTTCCCAAGCTCTGACCCTCCTGAAGTTGTCGAGGACATCACTCTTTTCCCTCGCATCGCCAACTGGCTCCAGAGGCTTGACGATGGTCCCCTCGGAGGCGATGGTCATAATTTCTCCCAATTTGCACCATTTTTTGAGGCAGAGATGTATGTTCGCATCTCTGATATTGCTGATAACCTCACTACTGAATCTCTGAGGGTGACCTGCCCAACTATGGCACATGGAACCACTTCGCACATCATTTCTCGGGCAAAAGCAGACACAAAAGCCATATGGAGAGAGGAAGTGAGGCGTCTCCGAGAAAATGCCCACCGCCCACAGCATTATATCTAAATATTCCATAAAATAATTCATCTTTAGATACTGATAACCCCTGCTCAGTTATGATACAATATTATTTACTCAGAGTATCCAGAATGCATGAACCATCCTTTGGCATCTTGTGGAGTGACCGAGCTAATGGCTTTGCTCAAAAATGCGTATACATCTAAGTCATCATCCTCCTGCATTGCCTGTTGTAATCTCGTACCATATCTTCAAACATAGGACTTGATAGATGAGAACCCAAGCTCAATAGGGTTGAAATCCGGAGAGTATGGTGGAAGAAAGAGATAACGCATTCCCCTGAAGACCAGAAATCAAGGAGTGCTTCTTTGCTTGAAAAACCAAACTCACCGGGCCTCGATCCTCTCCAATGCATCAGGATCTTTGTGGATCCAACAATTATCCATGATTATCACTGAGTTTGGCATGGGAAAAGGGTTCATCTGGTCAAGCAGACCGTCGATGAAGCGTCCAAATTTGCGCTTATTGAATGAACCTTCGATGATGTCAAAGCTGAGTATTCCCTCTTCAGACATGGCAGGAAGCATGGAATACCTTCATTGCAGTGTCAGCCTGAGAATAAATGCACCTATGGACTAGCATACCTTCTGCCTCGCACAAAGAAAGCTTTCTGAACAGCTCGTCGGCCTCGAATTGCCCAAGCGTAGCCACGGTACGTTGTCCTGCAATCTGCTGCACTCTTGTCCACAAAGACTAGTTGATTTGACTGGTATTTTGTTGCTATCTTCAAGATATAACGTGCACATTTACGTGCGCTGCGTTTGACCGCATTCTGGCTCAACTGAAGAAAATGTTAGATAGTTCCTGCATCTAAGGATGAATAGAACACAAACCTTTTTCATCCGATAGCCTGCTCTTCTCAATGTCCTCCAGATGGTTGGAATAGAGGCATGGCTCTGACACATAATTCCAAGTGATTCTTGCAACTTGTCAAGATAGACGTCACAGGTGCGGTTGACACAGCCATGAAGAAACTGAATGTCATATACTCGTCAGCATACCTGGCTGTTATCATGGGGATAATCTCACAAAAACATCCTCAGCTGAGAGGTTTCGTGGTCTCCCACAAGGGCGTGGAGTAGCAGGAGGGTCTGGGACGATCTGTCCAGTCTCCTTCCATAGCTTGAGGATCCTTGATTGTTGTCGTTTGCTGACAGTTGTAAACACGTGTATTTCTTCAGGTTTGAACACAGCAGACATGCGTACAATGGTCTGCCTGAGCGCAGGTGGGATTTTGACACCTTCCGCCATGTAGGATGGAAGTTGGAGGTCGAGGAGGCAATGCGACCCGTCTGCATGGATACAAGGAAAGCAGCATACATAAATATGTATTCTTCAGTGATATTATTACATATTCGTGTACTACAGAGCTGTAGCTCTCCGAATCACCCACTCTCATTGCGAACGGACATGTTTTGCGCAAGATATGAGGCTTGGAAGATGACAGCTCACCCATTGCAGAAATATTGGCCATTTGCCAAAAAAGGCAGCTTCGCCAACCTTTTTGAAAACAGCAATAAAGGACCTCCACTACCAACTGTGCCTGTATCTATAACGTGGGTCTAGCTTTCAATCATCTGACACTGTCATTGCCAGCTAGCTTTTCTAAAAGCTTGGTTCTCGATGTGGATGATGTATGGACTACCCTCTTTATTTATTGGCTGATTGATGATGCACTCGAGGAGAATATTATCCTTGAAGTTGACAATGAGGCACCTTCTCAAAGTGCTCGTCTATTACCAGCACTGCAGGATCGCAACAAGAGAATGATTGGGCCTGGTCAACCAGAATGGAGCCATGCTTGCGACTGGTGCTGCTGGGTTGACACACAGCCAGATGAGATGCAGAGTAAGTGTCTAGTCTATCCCTTGTTTACAATAGCTAACCATTATCCTAGCTTTTCTTTGGTTGGTCGTTGTCGATGGGATCACAATTGGGCATCCCTGCTGTGGTGTCCACAACTGCTCTGAGCCCCTTGCCTTGGTGAAGGATCGTTTCTGTCCAGAACACAAAGATCAAAATGGTATCTGCGCTATAGAAATATGTGATTTACCTGTTGAGGAAGGATACAAGACTTGTCCAGCTCCAGAACACCATGAATTGGAGGTGTATATTGACAAAAAAAACAAGGCAATGTTTCAACTAAAGGAAAGGCATTTGAGGCTGAAAATTGTGCAACCAACAGATGCTTTATTGGAAAGTTCTGATGAGACCATAGTGTCAGCAAGAGGTTCGACAGAGCATGCAGAAGAAGAGACTCATGTGGGCAAGAGTGGTGTGTGTGATGGAACAGAGCTCGTCAAAGAAGAGGCCCCAGTTGACAAGACTGGTGTGTGCGATGGAAAACCAGAGACTGGGAACCGCAAGCTCCACGCACGCTTTGGACAGAAGAGGACACACAATGAAGAGCTTTGTGTGGCCTCCTGTGGTGTGATCCTTGGCCAAGCAACCTTCTTTGGATCGGAAGCACCTAACAGAGTACGAGTAAGTTGTTCCTCTCAGCTGGCGCTCAAATTCTCACTGCTAACCTCTCTGTCAGACCTTTCTAATGGGGCTATTTCCAACTGAAGCATTGCTCCCTGGTGTTATCTGGCATGACAATAACTGCAAAATACAAGCTATGCTGAGAAACAATGAAGACCCTGAGCTCAAGCACTATTTCGATGGCTGTGCCCTCCCCATCGATGTCTTCCACTTCAAGTGCAAGCACAAGGAATTGGACATTATCTGCAATGCCTTTTGTAATCCCTATTTATGGGAGGAACTCTGCACTCCAGATGGTAAATGGCACTTCAACTCATCAGCAGCAGAACAAGCAAATGCATGGTTTGGTGGGTTCAGGCTATTGTTCGAGAGATGCAAGTCGATCGCTACAATTTCTTTCTTGATGAGATGATCAAGCGCCGAAATCAAATGATTATTCAGGAACTTTGCAAAGGATTACATGCACCATATCGTATTCCTCGCCACCTTCTTCTAGGACCCAATAATTAGTTTATGTGTATTGTACCTTAAATTTCGTGTAATTAATTCATTCTATCTCCTCATCATCACTGCTTGTAAGATCAATAACAATCTTGTCGAGAATGTGAAGTGGTTCATCGTCCTCCTCTACCTTCACCATCACACTAGCGATCTCATTGTCCTTCCACTCGAAAAAATCCATTGCTGATTTGGCCTGCAGCCACTGGACATAGAGCATCTCTATCATGTCGGGGTGATCTGCATGAGCACGCAGCACCTTGAGAAAGGGCTCACTTCGAATCTCTGCAGGATGCAAGAGCGATCCGACTGCACAACTTTCTTCAAGTGTTTTGAAACACTTGGGAATTTCAATGCTCAAATCTTGTTCGATTAGGAGGACAACAGCTTCAGGAATCAGAATGGAGCATAGAACTTCATCCCACGTCAAGGGATTGAAGGTGTCTAGCTCAAAGGAATCCTCAGGAAAGATGCATCAAAGGGCAAGTAGAATGATCTGAAAGCCCTCATCACTATAGCTAGATAAATGTAGTGGTCAAAAAATTGAATTGCTATTCACATTGTAAAGTGGCGACTTACTATCCTGCTCCAGCATAGGAATGCTTCTGCCATTCGTAGAGTCTCGCATTATTGGCACAAGATATACAGAGATCTCGAGCTGCCTGAAAAGCGGTACTCTCCTCAGGATCTTCTAGGATCGCCATGAGTGCATCCTGCCAATCAAGAACATGATCGAAAAGTCCATTGAAATTGATATCTAAGGGCCAATTATGACTGAGCGCTTCAGGAATGTGGATCGACTCATTGCGATGATGGATGCAAAACGGAGCTGATACCACAATTGATGCTGCCTTCCGATGATTCAGGTTCCTCTGTGTCGGAGCTGGGGTTGTCTTTGCCCAGATGGACTCGAGAATGTTGTCAAGGGCTTGTGAGTGTCGAGAGGGAAGCAGTTGGTCACAGAATGGGCAGAGTGTGGATTGAGCACGCCAGATATGGGGAGGATCCGGAGGAACAATGCATAGCCCATCATCAGAACTAGAATCACTTGCACAGCCTGGCAACAGCAAGCGCGATGTGCTATCTTCATGTGGGACGTGAGCTGCAACTTCAACATTATCACCAATGCTGGGTATTTCAGCATTGGTACCATCCAGGAGCTTATCAGAAGTGATATCCACACTTAAGGTAGCAGCAGCCCAAGATAGGCCTGAGCAGAGATCCTGGAGAAACAGGTAAAAGTGGGCTTTGTCTACTCGTCCACGATTGATGTAAGTGTTCTTGATGTTGCTGTTGGCCTCATTCCAGATGTTCTTGTACTTGCAAACTGTTGTCTTGACGTAGCGTATTCCAGAAAAAACATCAGAGAAAACAACTTTCTCAAGCTTGCCAGCCCTTCGTAATCTCTCAAGCTCAAGAAGACCAGCAGAAAAGTCACAGACAAACATTTCAAGTGGCCATTGCCTCTTTATTGGCCAAGTTGGTTTGACACCTAGAAGTGTTTGCTTCATCAAAGGTAACAGAGTAGGAAGCCCCCCTGGAGGTATCTCAGAGACTGGAGATGTGGAAGGTTGTGACTGTTCATCAATCCACACTAGCCCAGAAGTAGAAGTAGTCAAAACAGAACCAACACCAGGTGGTGAAGCAGAGTCTGTGATGCAGTGCGTTATTGAGATATCAGCAGAGGAGTCATGTCAAGCAGTCTTTTTGAGCAGAGAGACAAACTCGTGGGCACTATGTTTGTTGTTGGTGGAATGTCATGAGGGTTGATGAGCAAGCTCCTGTTCCAGACCTGGGCAGTTGTTAAGAGGTTCAAATAGGCTAGGATGAAGCTGGAGAACAAGCTCCTTAATCTTTTCAATGTCAAGCACATCGTTGATCGAAATGATAGCCCATCCGCCTTGATAGTAGTTGATCTTCGAGTTGACAGTAAGGTTTGCTTCTTTGACAAGGGATGAGACAGAGGAGAGTTGGAGATTTGGGAAGGTTTTGACAAAATGAGTGAGCCGCAGTGGGGGCTCGCCATTCTATGAGAATATTCAGAAAGGATACAAGCTGAAAGACTGAAAGCGCACCTTGTAGTATATGACAAGTGTACATGTTCGACATTGGCGATCTCCCATCTCCTGCTGCTGGGCCTTCAATGACTTGATCTTGATTTTGTCATCAAGTGTGCTCTCATAGGATTTTGCCCAATCTGAATTCAAAGGCTGGGCTAATGTTTGCCTAATCGAGATCTGAGAACCCTGAGGAGGTAAGACGGGGGCCCTCTGTGTTCGCACTGGAGCCTGTGATGATGGCTTAGAAGGGGTTCTATTTGACTGAGTAGATGCCCGCAGGGCAGCAGGCCCACCACAGGCTGTTGGTGCTGGAGTTGGAGGTGTAGCAGAGGTGCCCATAGGAACAGATATCTGGGTTGGTTCTGGAGTAGGAGGAGCTACTACCTGTTCCGTTACTGCTGGTTGGGAGTGGGCATTGCACTTTGCACAGCTCGTTCCATTCTCCCTTGTGTGCTGGAAGGCGACGATGCAACAGGTCTTGCACTTGTACTCGATACAGGTCCTGCTACCTTGCATCCGAACACCACCCTTTGTTGTACAACCTTCATTGGCACAGTCGATACGACCAGTCCAAGTTGGCTGATATAAAACTGTGACAGGTGATGGTGACCGCAGGAAACGAGTTGTTCGCTCTGGTGGCAATTGAGGGTTGAGAAGGTGCAGGAGTAACTGTTAAGCGTCATAGAATTTGTACGCCTCTGTGTGGTGGTAGGTCCAATGGCAGACTTGACACTAAACATGCATTAATTCATGACTGCTAGAGACAACTTCAACAATGCACCGTTTGGACAATGGATCCACGTTTATTACATTTGCTCAGATCCCCTGCACCCTTGTACACTCTCAAGACACCCATCAAGCCCAAACATCCAGGAACTGGGCAGTTTGTGAGTTGAGAAACTTTCGGATCGGAGGGCACTGGGAGCTCAGGATCAGCCATGCTTGCTGAAACAACGTTGGAGGCATGCTGTCTGTGTTGTTAACCTCCATATTTAAAGGATCAGACTTGAGCTTTGAGAATGCCAATAGAAGAAATAGTGTATTGCAAAGCAGAGTATGGACATTTGAGGTAGAAAGCTCATGTTCGTGGCAGGTAATCACCGACACTTTGCAAGATTGAACTGTGTGGTCATGTTTGTACTGCTGGGAGGCTGGCAGCTGCCCCGACAACTGACGCTTAGAGCAGGTTCGCAGTTTGCCAGGTCTGCGGTTTGTGGTTCACAGTTTGAGGTTTGAGGTTCACGGTGCCTCTCTCCCCATAAGTCAGACTTTCTGATATAGTCTGTGTTGTTGATGCATAAGGTATGAGTGTCTGTCAAGTGCGAGGCGACGAGAGTAGGGGTTTGTGGTTTGAAGTCCCGTCATATTTCTCTGCCTTATATATGTTTCTGTCTCTGCATGTGGCCGCCAGGACTAAGCGCACACCATTATCATTTGGAGGAATACTGAAGGTGGCATCAGTTCATTGTTCTTCTCTGGTGGCCTGTAGGGAATCATTGTGACCAGAATGGATCATATCCTAATTGGGTAACAGTGGTGTGGTGTCCAATCCTGACATGGGATCATCGCGGGTCACTTCTGTGGCTCAACAGAAAGCTGTCCCAATGCAGAAAAGCATTTATGTATCTGATGTGAGTCCAGCAACACGTAGTTCTGTTTCACTATTTGCTATGAACCAAAAGGTGAAAACCCAAGTGGCCGCAGCAGCATCTGAATGTTATGACGACTGCAGACTGCAAGTCACTTGGCGCTGTAAAATACCAGAAGCTTGTCAAGATGCAAAGCCTGGCTATGCTAGTACATGCCCACAACAGGGATGTCAGACTCGGTCACAAAAGTACGCTCTGTATACAGTCAGCAATGACCTTTGAGCATGCAGAAGTCCTCAATGAAATAGCGTGTTCTTTCCAGCCATATCCAGCAGGGGGCTTATGTGGGGTGGGGGTTCGGAGGTAGTGGGAATGGAGAAGAATGAAGCGTGTCCTAGACCAACTCAGGTGAATAATACAAGCCAGAGCTTGGGTGGGGACTACAGAAAGGCTTTGCGGCAAAGATGGTGAAACGTGAATAACATGGGCCCAGCATCTTGGTTGCACCTGACCAGACTGGACTTGAAATATTTGCGTCTAAGTATTATCAGACGCTGTTTGCGAACAGACTGCATCACCACACGGTAGATGGGCCAAACTGCAAATTGCACCCTACTTACTGTAGTAATTCAATCAATTCGGCGGTCATGGGTCACAGGCCCTCCCAAATTGACGAAAAGTCACAGTGGTCACACCAAAATCGCCAAAAAAATCCTCAGAAAGGGCCCCATAGGACCAAAACTGGCTTACAAATAGTGCCAAGGCCTTCTATATATAGCAATTTGACGAAACCAAAATTTCGTCAGGCAGGTCACAGGTCACACCCACTGATGAATTGATTGAATTACTACAGTAATGACAATTAGAAGTTGTTGAAACCAGCTAGGGAAGAAAGAAGGTATTTATTATTATATATATGCAACATTTCGACGGAGAAGTGAGGCAAGAACCAAAACTTCGGCAACCTGGGGTTCCAACATTGTCTACAGAGCAGGATCCTTGTTTCTTATCTTGAATAAAAAAGAAAGGTCCCATCCAGGAGTGACTTCCACGATGAGTGACCCCTGTCTTTTCCCATATATGAAGGCTTGGTGTCCACTCCATCTTATTTCTCCTTTCATCCATCCATCCTCATTCAGATACTGTGTGACTGATGCTGACCACTCCTCTCAGATTGCAGACAGGTGCTTGCGGAGAACAGGGCCCACATCGTCATCCAATTGGTTGAGCAAGAGGCTAATACTCTTGACAGCATTGTATTCCTGCAGATACAGATTGAAAAGTGTGAATGGGAGGATTGCAGACTAGCTGCATACATGAAGGACCTGCGCAGGGCACTGCAGGAAGCCAGGGCATTTTTAAAAACTACGCTGGGATGCAGTTAATTCTCATAGCCTGCATAAATGTTTGAAATAACCACCTGCATGGCAATTTATAAAACTACACCCGGTGGTTTTATGCCCTGCCGGAGGAAAGTGAAAATAACTGCCAAAAGGACTCTTTTGGCAGTTAATACAACTAAGCTCTGGTGGTTTTTCTACCTTGACTGAGCTAGGTTTTATTTATGTCGTTTCTGGCTGTATGATTTTCTGCCAACATTAATAGTAAATTTCATTGCCCAAGGTAATTACATAGCTTGTGCTAGGTCTTGCACCTCATACCTGCATCAACCCTTACCCTCCCTATCTTCTCCAGCCGTCGATCTCGCAGAGGCGCGGTCTCTCATGTCGGATCTGCGTCAATCATGCGTTGGCCTCATGAGATTGTTACAGTGCTAATGGTGTACTGTATTCTGGCAGATGCACTGAGTGGGGACCTTTCGTGCATAGAGATGACTCACCATATCTTTGTGCCCTGGCTTTGGGCACTGTGGGAGAGCAGCGGGGGTGGGCTGCAGGAGAAACATGGTGATAAATCATTTATCTCCTGCTTAAGAATATAGGCGCACCAAAATGTCAAGCACGAGCATTATCACGATGCAAGAGGGGCATCAGAACCGTCTGGATGCATGTACGACCCAGACAACACCATCTCACCTTTGCTATCCACATCTAGGCCATCCAGCCATGCTATCATTGGCGAATAACACCTTCCTAATGAGTGTCAGGCATGGTCAGACAATGATGACCAGGGTTTCGAGGAGGGTAGCGCAACTGTTGGGAACTTGATGAATGGCAGCAAGCTACACATGGCTGTGTTACATAGACGAAGAAGAGGAAGGTATGTTAGTTGTTTAGTCATGTGAATACTGTTTAAATTCTCTGTTTTTCCTCGTCAGTATCTCACATAGCATACCTGTGGAATCCGCATACTGCGCTAGCGAAGCTCAAATATAGCCATATATTGAGGTTGAATTCGGAAATAAAAATAGTGAGCTCTTGTCAACAGACGTGCTTACCCTTTCGGCAACAGTAACACATACAACTATTAAGCTCAGTGGTGGCAGATTCGGGTGGTGAAGAGAGGCCGCAGCGAAGGCTGAATGTTGGGGTACCAAGCACCCTCATTTTGGACCTCGTCATCGCCGTTGTGTCTATACGTAAGTGTTGTTAGAAGACTTCGGCCCCGAAGTCATGAATTGAAAGAGTGGGAGGTGTCTCAGTGGTACCGGTTGTGAAGCTAGAGCAGAGGATGGGGCGGTATTCACTGGAGGCCAGAAAATGTGTGATGGTGTTGAAAAGAAAAGCGAATGAGCATCATGGACTTACCTAGCTTCAGAAACGTCCACCTAAAACCTTGTGCCTCGACACCACACCATCCTGTTGCTTTCGGTTTTCATTAGCCTATGAGTCGATGAATTTGAGCCAAGAATGCGATCCGAGTAAGATGACTTACAGGTCGTGGTTGTCGCTGCCTTTTCATCTATGCCCATCCACTCGCCTGCCTGCTCGTGCTCGTGCTGCTACCCTCTCATCCTTGTGGTCGAACGGCCGCTCTGGCTTGCCTGATGCCGTCGAGTTGGTCTCGTCCCTGCCGTTATGCTACCGCCCACTGTTGTTTTCTTGCCCCCGCAGCCATGTTCTTCCGATACCCACTGTTGTGCCCCTCCCGTCGTGTTGTTGCCGCCAAGCTGAGAGACAGATGGTGAGAGGTGGGCGGACGCCAACCACCACCTCCATCCGAACGTTACGTGGCACCTGAGATGCCGAGGCTCCAAGGATGGCAGGCACAGAGAGCGGGGCAGAGAGAGACGAAGGGAGGTAATGGCGAGCGCTGGCGGGTAGTCACATGGAGGGGGACACCCACATCCCTGTTGAAGGGGAGGGGTGGGTGAAGGGTAAGGTGAGAGCATGGGGTGAGAAGTGAGAAGCGAGGGCAAGAGAGCAGGGTTGGGCAAAGCGGAGGGAGGTTGGTGTGGGGAGTTCAGAGAGGGGGTATTTGTGCCCGGTCCACATCCCTATTGAGGGGGAGGAGCGTGAAACGCGTAGAAAATGAATGCCGACAAACAGTCGACCTTCGTGACCTAATTTCGAGATAAAACATGTATGAGTGTACGTATAGATGAATGTAGTATGTTACTTACCTTAGCCGCATTAAAAGAGATGACACAGATCGCACCTTTGTAAACGATTGGGAGCTGCCTCCTGGCCGATAGGTGTCCACAGTTGACAAGGAGCATAGATATGTGAAGTCAAATGGAAATGAGCACATACACTCAACAAAATCGGAACTCACATTCCGAATTAACCGCGATCAGCCCATCAGAGTCCGGATCAGCCAGATCGGAATATGTAGTTCAGTTCTATGGGTGATCTAGTCAGATTTTCAGCAAATGGATGCCCATCTTGAGCCTCAGATGGGGGATCGGGACAGAGATGTGGTAGACATGGAGGTAGCAGATGGTGGTAGGAGGGAAGAAGCAACATGTCGGAGGCAGGAGTGACGACGGCGGCATCACGTGGTCGCCTTATGTTTGGCAGCGGCTTGTTTGTTCCTATAGGCAACCAAACAAAATGAAGAAAAATCCTTCATTTTGTTTGGTTGCCTATAGGAACAAACAAGCCGCTGCCAAACAATGTTGGGAGAAACCTGCAAGTCCGTTGAGTAAGTGACTTCAACATGAAGTTGTGCACGATCGATTGGCGTGGTCATGAAAGGCCGCGGCCTGCGCGTGTATAAGTGTCACGACGTCATGATGATGGGGAATTTAACTCCCGATTGGCAGCTATTTCGCTATTTTTAGACGCATTTAATTTTACATTTCCTCAAACGGTTAAAGGAACCGCCATTCCTGGGCAGTTTCGGCCGATGCAGTTTTAAAAACCGCCAACGCTTCCCACAGTGAGGGATCGTCCCGTGCGCCTCAATTTCGGATAGGACATCCACCAATTTGGCAAATCTCTGCTTTACATTGTCTCCTCTTGCTAGTTTGAATCGAATGCTACACTCAAGAAAACTCACATCAGGACTATTGGGGGTGGGTTTTTGACACGCCATCTCATGAATGTGCGTGATCTATCTAGAAATCTTGCTTGTTTCAGTACTCGTCTCGGGCTAACCATCGAGTTTTTGAAAGAGCTCGTTGCGGTGCATTCTTTCTCCTGAATCGAGAACAATGGTCTCAAGGGACTCAACTGTCTCTGATAAGACAGCCGGAGAGCTCGGATGTCGAAAAGAGGAAGGATTAACACCGTCAAGTATCACCACACCAAGTGTCTCAATGTAGAGGCGACGCAATTTGGGCAGAATAGGGGGGCTCTGAGGCTTGACCTGAAGGAACGTATCCATTCTGAAGTTTAGTCCTGGTCTAAACAGGCCCAAATCAGTGACCTCGGGGAGGAGGGAGAAGAGTTGTATAAAATCGTTTGTCATTGGCGAGCTCGTGATGCGGACAGACAAAAATGTCAGCGGGCATGAGGAACGAAGAATGAAGTCGCTGATAGGCTTTGTTTCCGCGAGACCAGACACCGAAAGCTTGCATAAAGAGGGAAAGGTTGCATGGGCAAAAAGCTCGTTCAACACCGCCAAGGGAGCATTTGCGACATCAATTGACAACACAACCAGGGAACTGTTGCAAAATGAAGGAAGTGCTGTATGGTTGTAATCATGCCAGGAGAACTTAAGGATGCACTCCTCAAGACTCGTCGAGACATGGAGAAGCGATATGGCACAACGGGACTCGATCTTCTCGACGCAGACTTTACGCAATCGAGACCACGGTACAGACACACACTGCAAATCAGCCAACGGCGGGTAGTACGGCCCTGTCATTATTGTCACTACTTGGAGCAGTGGAGCGGTCTCAAGATGGATGATTGAAGTCAATGTTTGTCAACTTGAGTGACTTCAGAGACGTCCATGTGTTTTCTACGTCGGCAGCAGGTTTGGACGCTGCAAAAGGTCCATCCAGTCCAAGGGTACTGATGCGATGGACGTAGGGCAAAATGATTTGAAGAAGCTTTCTTTCCGTGCTGTAATTGAACGATCCCAGCGACAGATTGAGGGGAAGGGAACTGAACGTTCGAGCATTTTTTTGAGCCGATGACGGGCGGGGCGGCTTTCGCGAACGTGCTTGTCCAAGAAGTAGGGTCGACCATAACCATGGCGTCGAAAGCGCCGCTGCTCGCCAGCTCCGAGAAACCTGACTGGCTCTCCATAATTCCTCGCATCAACTCCCACCATACGTATGATTGTTGACGACTTGTTGGAATATCTCGGCGAGAACGTCGTTCGGGAGATGTCGCGATTTTGCAATGACATTCTGGTGAAGCCGAATGCGTTCCTGGTACTCCTTCTGACGAGTTTTCAGTGTTTCCAAGGCCTCATTCACTTGTTTGAGGACTCTTTCGACCTCTCCTAGAGCCGTTGTAGACGATGCGATAATGTCCCGCGCAATGCCCTCTTGGCAGCTTACAGGAGGGTCATTGGTGGTAAGAAGTGAAATGATTGGGGAGATTTCTGGTGGAGGCAGTATCTCGAGTCGTGAAATGTTGCACTTTGGACAGGGCAAGAGTAAGGCCGCCATCTCGTAGTGGTAGTTGTGGTTGAAATTGCCAAGCCCAAAATTGGACGAAATCGATTGTGGGAGAAATCCCGGCATCTTGCCGAATTCAAGCTTCCTCAGGAAGTACCTTCTTCCGAGTCAACAACAACAATACGTATGCCGCTAACCTCCAGATGGCCCTCCCATTCGACATTCTGTCCAATATCGGCGACATTCTCTCATGCGAACATGATGTGGAGACCCTCAGGGCGTTGTCATTGTGCTCTCAGGCGTTGGTTCCCATGTGCCAAAGACATCTCTTCCGCACCTTTTGCATTCCCAACACCTCAGGTCGAGACTTTACGGGCATAGAAAGAGAGCGCTACCTGGACAGATTCCACCAAATTTTGACATCTTCTCCTCAAATCGGGGCGTATGTTCAGCACCTGCACTACTTCGTCGATCACGACGACCGTGAAAATGGAATGGCATCCTCGATTTTGGAGCGATTGACCGAAGTCACAGCCTTCAAAATCGAATACCGTGCGCACAAAGATCCTCAGTTGTTTATTCATTGGAAGAGGCTGGCGGAAAACCGGCGTCTGGCATCCGCCATTACCTCCATTATCAAGCAACCCACACTCTGCTCCCTCTCCATCGTGAACATCAGCAGCTTTCCCACCTCTATCCTCGCTTCGATCACCAGTCCGCTGTTGGACCTCGATATTCGTTTTCTAGATATCGAAAAATCAGATAGCATCAACGAGGCATTGGCACTTCGATTGAACCAAGTTGAAGGGATCCTGCCATGTCTCTCTTCCCTCGAAATACGCGACAGTGAAGACTCAGCCACTACCGTCATTGCTCTTGCGGGAAAGTTGTTCGATTTCTCCCGAATCGAGTCGGTCGTCATTGAGTGGGAAGATGAAGAACCCATCAGCGCGGCCAAGGCGCTGCTGAAACTTACACCCGTGCTTAAAGTCCTTCGAATTCGAGGTACACATGACTGTCACCCCGGCCATGCATGCACCGTGCTGATGCAGAATTCTAGTTAACACGGAAATAAACACTTGCAGGGGGATCGCAGACTGCATCTTACAAGGTGCGCATCAGACGCTGACGACTCTCAAGCTCGATCCCGGAGCACGTGGGTTCACTCTTGGTCTCCCCTACGATCCATTTGCGGGGATGATCGAAGAGTTGAGGATGTTATCTGGCTGCTGCGACGTCCTCGAGGCCATCGCAGTGTCACTTGGATGCAGTAACGTGGAAAGTCCGCTGTCAATCGATTGGGAGCCCTTCAATGAGGTCATTACCTCGAAAGGCTTCCCGTGCCTCCGAGTCCTCACGATTGAAATGACTTTCATTTGGTTGGGCCCCTCGTTTAATCAAGCAGAAGTTGAGAAGGATTGCAAGATGAAATGCTACCAGCAACTGCGGAAGATCAGAGATATTCCTGACTTGGATTTCAGGTTTGAAGCAAAGGTAGAAGAATGGTAAGAAATTATTTGAAGTGCTCTACTTCTTTGCCGACGTAATTGTTGTACTTACGTCCGTTGTAAGCCTTCTATAAATATGTTTTATCATGTACAGCGAATAGAATTGACAGAGTATGACTCAGACCAGCCGAGCGCTCGAGCTATCCTTGACGCTGACCTGCTAAAAGTCAATAATATGTAGTAAACCATCTGTGACGTCGAGCTTTCGGCGATCCGTGGGAAAAGACCGAAGGCGAGGCGGCACACAAGAGATGAGACTTAGAGAGCGAAACTGACAGTTCAAGTTACTGTGCTATTCACTGAGGTAGTAGTACATTCGGGTCTCGTATTTATAGGATTTGGTGGGTTTAGGGGAGGTCATTCAAAGGTCTTGGAAACGAGTCAAAAAGTAAAGAAAAGACACAAACTGACTAGGTATTTACTGCGCCTATTTAGAATGACAAAGGCCAAGGTAAGTGATTATGAAGCAAGGGAAAAGGTCACGAGAAATAGTAGGATGAGACAGAGGAAGAGAGGAACGCACGAAAGAGCGTCTACGAGCGCTTAGGAAGTCGTGGGAAAGAGGGAGGGACGAGGAGCGAAGTCCCACAGTCGTTACATACGCCCTTCGGGAATTCCAAGGGAATTTCCTCTAGTAGACCATCGCAGCGGCTCCGTTGGAAGAGTCGTCGTCGTCGTCATCGTGCTGAAAGTGGGATGGAGATTCGGTGGGAACATGGGACGAGAACTTGCGCTTCTTGTTCCGGTTAGAACCCGCCTCTACGTTTTGCCACAATAGTTGCTCCAGAAGGCGTTGACGCTTGGGCGAGAGAACACGGCGCCAACCGATGAGAGCAGGGTCAATACTAAAATCTTCTAAGGTAATCTTCTCGCCTTTGATGCAAGCGGTGCTGGTAGTGTAGTCGTATACCGCGAAGCGCTTGGGTGACCCGGTTTTGGCAACAGCGGCATTGAAGATCGCCGTGAACTCTTCAAACCCAAATGGAAGTAGGCGAGGGTTGAAGTGGCGAGAACGAATAGAATTCTCGGCTGCAATATAGGCAGCGACTTGACCTATATGGAAAAGGTTGAACCTGTTCCGTGCGTTGTCGGTTATCCGAAGTGTCGTGAGGTTTGGGCGCTGGAGTATGGGAAGGGGGAAAGTCGTGTGTTTGTTGGCTGGAGCTGGCTCGAATGGTTGGACAGCGCGAGTCGGCTTGTCGGTTGCGAAGGCGTTGGAGGGAGTCTGCGGCCTGCTGTTGGCGGAGGTGTCAGAGACGGAGGCGGTCAAGTGAGACTCGACGGAGCTGGAGTCGTTGGAGTTTGGCATCGTTGCGTCTAATGCGGTCGAGGAGAGGTTCTTGGGGCATGCCATGGTGGCGAGAGAATGGAGAGGATGAGGTGATAGACGAAATGGTGGCAAAGGGAATGATAAAGCGAGGGGAAAATGAAAAGAACTCGGAATGTGGGGTGTTCCGAGGTAAAGAACGAAAATAAAACTACTGAGTACTTATACGTTTGGAAGAAGAATGAATCAAACGAAAATTTGGGGATAATCTTGAGGAGGTTGGCCAGAGCCGGGAGGGAGGTTAGAGATTGAGTCGACGCCCAGAAGGTCAAGATAGTCCTTGAGCGCATTGAGGTGTTCAATTTGGCCAAATGGGAGCCAGGTAATGTCACCTGCCTTCCATTGTACCTCAAAACTTGAGTCATTCCAAGAGCCTGAGTGCGACAATATCTTGTCCACAGCCCATTCTCGTTCCAAATCGGTGCCAGGTACAATTTGAGTGACCTGGCGCCCCGGAAAGAGGCGATCGTCGTTAGGAACATGAATCCTAAGTAAGGAAGCATGAAAAACATTGTGTACTCCCCTCTGCTTAAGGTTAGAGGGAAGATCCACTTGAAAGGACTGGTTTCCAAAGTCCCGGACAATCTTGTAAGGTCCCATGTATTTTGGGATTAATTTCCGTGCTAGACCTTTCGGAAATGTGATGTTTTTAGTAGATATGTACACGAGGTCGTCGAGCACAAACGGAGCGAGTCTTTGGCGCTTATTAGACTCACGAGTTTGCTTAACTTGGGCCGCGAGAATACTGTCATGTGCAGACATCAAAGCCAGCTTTCGTTGTAAGGCAAAGTTACGGACAGAGGGATATTCTTCCTTTGGAGCAGAATCCCATATCATTGACCGCAGCATCCGCCCGGTATTGAGGAAGAATGGTGCATGTCCCGTACTCTCGGATCGAGCTGAATTGATTGCAAACTCGATGGCTGGTAAACGAGAGACCCAATCAGTCTGCTTTGCATTTATACACTGCCTTAACATCTGGGTAATTGTGTGGTTTGCCCGCTCTGTGGATCCATCCGTTTGTGGGTGATAAGCACTCGACATTCGAAGCTGCGTCCCAATCAATTTATTCAGGTGACTCCAGAATGTGCTCGTGAATAGGACATCCCGGTCACTGATGATATGTTTAGGGAGTCCGTGAAGCTTGTATACTTCTTCAAACATGAGTTCAGCGATTTGCTTTGATGTGTAATTAATTCGGCTAGGCACCAAATGAACCATACCCGTAAACAGGCAGATTATCACCGTGATGCAGTCAAAGGTGCTATCACGGTTCTTTGATTCAGGTAGTGGCCCAACGAAGTCAACTCCGATGGCTTCCCAAGGTGTTCCTGGGACAGGCAGAGGGTTTAATAGCCCATAGGGTT